TTTCCTTCCTCAAAATTGCTGAAAACTATGCGAGTGACTCATTGAATGTCCTTGAGTCAGCACTGAAACAGAGCTCCAGAACTCTCTCTGATTTACAGTGGAGATAAAAGACTGTAGGATTGTTGGTCTTAAAAGGATGGCCAGTGACTGATCCCCTGAGGATGTCTCACCACTAAACCCATGTAACTCTTGCACAAACCAAGCCTGCATTCCTACCCCGTGCTCCAGCCCTTCTCTTCCTGGGTTCAGCCCTGTTGGAGCCCAGTTTACCATGTCACACAGAAGAGGGAAGGTCATGTGGCTGCAAATCCCATTTGCACAAAGTAAGCAGGTAAATGGATTCCCATTTTGAAGTCAGTTTAATCGATTCATTAATTAGTAACTTGTCTTCTATAGCAGTAAAGCAGAGTGTAGCAGGTTCAGAAGTTGTGGAGTGCTGAAATTTGGAGTTAGGCTGAAGGAAAGACTATGTACAATACAAATCAGCTTTCTGTTGTGATGTAAATTTATTCTCATAATTTTTACCATTTATTCATCCCAAAAGACATATTGCATATTTGGAACATTTGTAAAGTAAGAGCCACTGTATTCAAGACAAGAAGTAGTTTTGTCACATCAAAACTGATGACATACTCAATAAAATTATTTTCCAGAGCAAGAACTCCTTACAAGAAATATAAATAGAATATAAACTTCATAAATGATCTAGCATGAAAAGATTAAAATAGCAAATTCATTCCATACTGAAGGCAGTACTTTACCATAGTGTGTGTGCGGTGTTTAAAAAAAATAAAAATTCATGTCCCAACAACGGGTACTGAAATAAATACAGATAAGCTTTTGGTTACATTTTATTCCAATAGAACAAAATGGATTGATGACTTCACTCTTTTGTCTGATATGATTAGGTAATAAAACATTGCTTTTAGTTTAATCCAGGCTTCGGATTTGTTCATCAGACACTATGAAGGGATGACACACTTTGGCAGCACATTGGCATTTTCAATGTCTCACCTGATAAAAGGCAGGAATTCTCTCTCCCTGCCAACATCTCCATGCCCACAGCTGAGAAGCATTTACCCAAGAACCTCAATTACATCCCCACTCTCTCATGGCTGCCAAACACCAGTGACCACGTCCTGGTCCACCACATGCAAGCGCCATTCCAGAACAGCACGGACACACATCCACATCCCTCAATGCCTTGGAGCTGACACAGCCAGCTCTGGGAATGATGCTCACTGAGCACACTGAGAAACTCAGTCATGTGAACAACCTCACATTTGAAATGCTTGGAGAGGGAAGTGTCAGTAATGTGCAAACATGATGGGGCTGAGGGAAGAGAGTAAAATGTCTGATCCTCAGAAAAGGACTGGCTTTGCTTCACTCTAAGATGTAAGCAAATCTTAGAACAATCTATGGGAAGCAGTCAGCAAAAAATTCAAGAATGTAGAATAATTAGTACCTGGCAAAGCATTTAGAAAATAAAATTCCCCCTTTCAAAGCTTTTTTAAAAAATTGGTTTATTAGTGTTATTAAACCAAGACTTCCATAAATCATGACATAACAATAAAAAGTGATGGCTACACTACAATCACTGTTAACTAATAATGCAGGTTACTGAGCAGCTGTCAGTTTGTAAAAACTATGTGAAGGAATTAGTCTATGAATATTTTCCCTACTGTGCTTCAGGGATCAGTTTTTCTCTCACTACTGTTTAACACTGTATGATCAATAGTCTAAATAAAGTAAAGCTTCAGGAGTCATCCCTATAGAACCTGAACAAAAACCTGAAAAAACCCCTTCAATGCTGTGCTCAACAGTCATGGGAACAGGCTGCTGCTTAGGCCTGCTGCCTACAGTGGTTTTTACCAAACAGTACTGCAAAGTCAGATACCACAGGGTGCACCTCATACTGGGGTGATGTGAGCAGTACAGTAATTTGATTGACAAGGTTAAAATCTAGAAGCTAGAAGTCAGTGAATCTCCTAAAAAAAGTTCTGGTAGACAATCAAACAAAAATATCAGAGCAGGATATAAAGCTTATTGTCTATTCATATGATCTTGGTAAGGTAATAACTGTAAGGACATTCTATTTTGGCATCTACTCTTTAAAAGAGAACATTTGGAAAATTAAAATTGTTTAAAAAGCTGACAACAAAAACTAGAGGGATGAAGAAAAAGACTTAAAAATTCAATCCATTCATATAAAGTAAGATTGGAAGGTATGATCATGGTATGTCAAATCCCTGGATCAAGACAACATTTGCAGCAAAACACCCTTCAAGAGGGATGTATTGGAGTTCAATTTTTGGAAGCCAAAGCAAGATGAACTCAAACACAGGGCTGGGGATTGGTTTGGGGTTTTTTTTGGAGGGAACAGTAGTTGCTCACATATCTTACTTACAGAGGTGACAGATATTTTATCAGAAGTTCTTAAAGCAAGACTCTTATTTTTTTTTCTAACAAATGCTGAACTTCTTGACATTCTGCTGCTGCTGCAATCAGACAGAAGTTTTATGACTCTGATATCCAGATTAATGATGAGTTCCCCTTACCTTTACAAATAGAAACTTGAGCCTGTAAAGTCCCTTCCCTTCACAACCTGTGTTTCAATTGCTGGTTTACCTTCTACTGCTGGTAGTCCTTAGTCAGACACTGGTAGCATCCAGCTTTTAAGCAGGAATGGCTGCAGCCTCTCTCTTCCAAGCAGAAGAACTTGGCTCTGTTGCACAAATCTCTGCTCACTTTCAAGAACTTGGTACAAAGTAAAAACCCAGGAATAACAGAAAATAATCCCCTACACTGCAGTCCAATTCCCCACTAGAGAAGAAAGAGGAATTCTGTGTTCATAAGCATGTGCAAAGAAGGACTGGGATGAGCAAATCAGCTGGATCTGGGGAATTCAATGCAGCTGTTTGCAGGAAGCAATTACCCTTCAAACAGACCCAGAGGTATACGCAAGAGAGAAGGAAAGAATATGGCTTCTAATTCTGTTATATGATCACTTGCTATTATTAATGGAGACTCAGAATTTTGAGACAGTTGCTAATGAAACACTAATGGTGGATGAACAGCCAGAGGGGAGAAAAGGCCCCTGGTGAAACCTGGCCAGCCCCACTTGCAGAGCCAGTGCAAACGACAGTGGCTTCCCAAAAGCCATAGTGGTGACCTGGTGTTTTAAAGCACTCAGATGCTGCTGGTGGAATGAATTTGGCAGTGGATTTGTCATGGAAAAAAGATTCAAGCTGAAGAAATGATTCTTGCAAGTGGCAGAACCCTATGGATTAAGGCAGGAGACATTCAAAATTTCACATAAAGCACACAGAAAACTGGAACAGGTAACATACTTCAGAAGACTTGATTAGAAAAATAACTTAGGGATATACCCCAAAAATACATGCACAGGTGATCGATTACCTTTGCTTCAGCTATCAGTCATCTGATACTAATTCTCACTGTTTTATGAGAACTTTTGCAATATATTGTGCAGGCTCACAATTCTCCATTTAGCACCAAAAAATCCAGACATTCTGCAAAAGGGATGAGGCAAAGACTCTGGAAGAACGTATTTAATTCAGCTACAAGGAACAGGAAAATCACACTGTATTTTTCACATATTTATATTTTTAAATAAAAGGCCTGCTATTTTAGTCCCCACATAGGTAAATTCTTTTAGAATTTAAAAAGGGTGCCTTACTCATGACACCAGGACAAATCTGAAGAAGTGTTCAGATATTCTAAGACTTATACTAAATCTTCCAAATTGAACTAGCAACTGATAAAACAACTCTGTGACTAGCTTTGCTACTATGAGGAACCTTTTTAAAACCTCAAACTTCAGTGCAAGCTCAGTGCACTTGTTTTACAAGTGGAGCATCTCACACGTGTGAAAAGCTGCTTGTTATAGTAACTCCAAGGCTTAGCTAATCAAGCCTCACAAAAGAAAGAACCTAAACATGAATGTAAAAGAGCACACACATTTACCATTAAAAAAAAAGCAACAAAAAAACCAGAAAGGTTTGTGCAAGGAGTCCTTGCAAAATAACTCCACTTGGTGTTTTAGTATCGAAGCACTGAAGAACAGCAGCTTCCCAGTTACCCAACCCTTCTCCAGGGATTCTCACAAGAGTGAACTGTGCATTTTAGCTCATTCCTCATCATTTTGAACATGCAAATGTCAAGAACTCCTGGAAAAGGCACTGTATTAGGGAACCACAGGTATATTTGTAAGCACAAACCCCCATGCAATGTGTACGATGCACCTGTGTATATAAATATGCATACATGCACATAATGAAATTAGAAATACTTCTCCTTTAATACAACTATGTTGGGCCTCAAACTGAGCTCTCTGATGCACTGAAGATTACTGAAAACAGAACATTTGTCTTTAATACAAGGACAAAATTAAGCCCCAGGCAGGACTGGTGTGGTGCAGGGCCCCCCAGGGATCCTGGCACCTTCCCTGCTTCCAGCGGGGAGGGACCCCCGGCTCCACCAGGCTCCATTTCCTGACACCTCCAAGGACACGCTACCAGCAGGGAGGAGGGAAGGGAATCCACTGCCAAGGAAAGAATAGCTGACAGGGACAAAGGGAGTTGGAGATGCTGAAGAGGTGAGGAGGCAGCATCAGGCTCCCTTTCCCCAGCAGGGCTCTCCTCTGTTGCCAGGACCTGCAGGCACTGCTCCTCCCATCTCAGCACCCCTGCCACGGGCACATGCACTCTGCAGCTCTGAACACTTGCTCCTCCTCCATGGCAATACGCTCCCAAGCCTTCCACGACTCTCCCTACTCCACTTCCTTCTGAAAACCACACAGAGGGATCAGCTAGACCAAAACTTAAACCAGCACAAATGTGAAACAGAAGGTAAAAAAAAAAAGCCTTTTGCTCTTACTGGACATGCTGCAGACATTGTGCCTAGTAACTGTGGCAATATCTAGTGCAAAAGAAACTTAGCATGAATCTCTTGTTTTCAAATGACATTCAACTCAAACATGCATAGGGAGAGTAAAGTTATTTTATTAAATCATGCACATCACGTGTGTTAGTGCAAATAGTTTAATCTGTACTCCAGAAATTCTATTGTATCTTTATATCTTTACAAAATAGATTTAAAACAATTAATTACTTAAAAAAATGTAATTCTGAAGTTAAGCATTTCAGAACAATATTTGCAATAACCTATATACAAGAGGTACTAAGTACCACTGGCATACGAGTGTTCTGTGGTTGGGTGGCTTCCTGCAACTGAAAAGGATGAAAAGGATGAAAAGAATGAACTAAATGACAATAGTTATTTTCTACAAGTCACTTGTGGACTATTTTCTCCAACTAATAATCCTCCCATTAGCAAATCCCATGTAACTTAAGATAGAACCTTTAATTAAAGGACAATGACCCTTAAAACCTCACAAAGTAAGTTATATACTAAATTTCTATTTAAATATTTAAACTATCTGTCGATTGCCATAACATTCTTTAAAGCCAATTGAATTGCTGAGATTACCTCCCTCTTTTGAAGTTTCCTGTAGCAGAGCCATTTTACTTTACCATTCTTTAACATAGTAAGTCTTTAATAAACTTTTTGACAGAACTGTTGAGCTGAACAAGACAACTACTGTCTACATTTAATTCAGCACTAACTACAGTGATTCCCACCAAAAGTCAGCAAATAGTAATAGTTATAGTACTTAGATAAGGAAAATAAACTTTGTAATGGGGACCACTGCATCATACTTACAGCCATGTGATAAGGAGCCACAAAATTTTACTACCAAATTAAAATCATCTTCACCTGACAATATTTCATCAGGTATGATTCCAATTTTATAGTATTTTATGTATCTAGATTTCTCTCAGCTGATCAAAGACGTACTGTAGCAGTTCTCTTAATAAAGTTACGTCCACAAAAGCTTATTCTAAAGAGCTTCTCCAGCTCAAGTCAGAAAGTATCAAATGACTGAAAAAATAAACTGATACATGTGATATGTGAGAAGGTATTCATACTTTTAAAGAACGTATCTCTTTAAATATATGAAATTTAATAAATTACATTCAAACTAAAGTTAATGTAAGTTGAATCAATGCACTATGTCCATCGAATGACCAAGTACTTGCTCCCAGAAACACTTTAGCTCACTCAAGAACACACACATGCTTACACTCGCACACTAAATACTTTAGGCTGGTCTTCACCATCAGTATCTCTATCTCTTTAAGGCTGGACATGAATTGTGTTTATTCCCAAAACCCATTAATAAAGCAATCCTTATGAAAGAAAAATATGCTTCCTTCGAAAGGCGTGGTAAGAGAAGTTAAGTCTTGTTCCCAACAGCTCAGTGACTAACAGCAAGTAAAATGATACACTAGTTTAAAAAAAAATAGATCATACTGAAAGGCACTGAGCACACTGCATCTGTTTCCCAAGAATATGCAAGGTTACTTGGCTTGGATATCCAAATCAGTATTTTCCACTTAAGTCTAGCAATCAGATTCTAAAGTCAGTGTCCACAACCCTAGCCATTATAAATAATTTGGTACCAAGAAGCCTGCTTTAGGCCACCATTATAGTATTCAGAATCCCAACACACTAATTTAAAACTTGCATGAAGTTGTAAGCAAAAATATTGCTCACAGTATGATGAATCACAATTTTATTCCCTCTTTATAGACAGATACATTTTATACAATTTAAAGCAAATGACCCTACTGCTGTTCTCACGCAGAGCTGTGCTGTATTAAGAGGTAAAAAGGAAGAGAATTAATCTGTTTTCCCTCAGTATATGAATGTTGCCAGCTTCTAAAGGGAGGACGGTGTATGGATTCAACAACAGTTCTCATGGAGAAGCTCTGGTTAGGCCTGGGTACAGCACCACGGCTGTTACAGCAACCAAAGCTGCCATCACAGGCATCCAAGGCCATTGTCTCTGTGTGGAGAGAAAAAAGAAATCAATATCATATTTGTTCTAATTCATACTAATCAGTTTACCTCGTGGTTCCTGCAAGTCCTGAGTACCTGTTGATAGGCATCACTACAATGTGACCCACGAGCCCTGCTGCAGGCTAGTCCTGACTTGGAGCACCACAGCAAAGCACGTTCCTCTAGCACAGGCAACTCCACAGCTCTTCGGGACTGAGGATCGTCTGCAGGACTCGGGGCAGCTCCGAATTCCCAGGTTTGTTACTGTACACACCTCAGAGAAATCTGCCACTGAACATGCCAAGGCTTGAGATGTTTAAAACATCGCTCAAGCCAAGTCAAGGCTAGACAGAGGTTTATGCACATCTTTAACTTTTGACCGTTTAAATTCAGATCTGTGACTTAGTTTGTAGCAGATCCTAACAACACCATTTTTAACAGACTGTCACAACATTGCATGACAACAATGGCATTTTAAGAGGAGGACACACTGAGAGACAAGAGAAAATGCAAGCTGAGAGTTCAGAATACAAACCAACCACCTATTTCTTGGCTTTTTTCCCCATCTTTCCATCAGCAATAGTGAGAAAAATTAAAGTGTTTAGAGCCAGAGAGGAATTTCTTAGTCCATAGGTAGGAACCAAAGCTTGTTGAGTTTTATTATTAGAGGCAAACTCTTCATTTTTCAGTTAATTAAGTAATTAAGTTTTCTTACAACCCCTAGCATCGCAGCATTGTGCAAAAGGCAGCCCATTTGCTAAAGACAAACTGAGACCGAGTTAGAAGAGGCACGTTCAAGCACCAGTTAGAACAAAATTAATTGTTAGAATTAAAGAAATCACAGCTGTTAAATGATTAGTGGATTCCTCAGCTCGTCAGTGTCAACAGAATGGCATATTAAATGAAGGGTTTGCTTCAGGTAAAGAAATACCTGTGAGCATTCCACCATGCACTATTTGATACAGAAATGGCACAAACAGGTGAGAGGGACAAACATACATTGACTGAACAGTAGTGCTTGTACCTTTCGCTACCACAATGGGCCGTAACACCAATACAGGAAAGCCAGGATTAGGCCGATGAATACGGCTGGGACGGGTTGTAATATGGAAGGCTAAAGAAGGGAAGGGATATTAAAAATCACTTTGTGCTATAAATCAATCAGGTAAAGATGATTTAGAGAGGGGAAAATAAGTCAGTAAGTTTTGTTTTAATTGAAATGTATTAAAGACATCTAACACATTACAGCATTATCTAATCTGGTATACAAAGTTAGTACACCATTCTACTTAAATGAACAGGGATGTTGAAAAATAAAGGGAAGTAAGCAGAAAATGTTCCAAGAAACCTCTAGTCACAACTTGGAATTCAGTACTTGAAAACAGTACAAATGTTAAACTGCTTTGCCTGTATCTTATTTATAGTTGGTTTTAGTTTTTCTCATTAAGAGAAATCCTATTTGGATTTCTTGAGAGACGGACTTGCATCAAATATTGGATTTTTCAGCTATTTCTTCATTCCTTGCTAGTTAGCCTTTTCCATTTTCCATCACCAGCCTCCAGAAAAACAATATTTTTTCCTCCATTAGCGAATCAATTACAGCTATGTCCACAGGCAAACCCAGTAGTTCAGACATTTCTGTGAGATTGTAACATGACTGTACAATCCACACTCAGTTACTAAAAAGCAGAGAAGCACATTTCTATCAGAGACACCACAAAGCTCAGCATCTCTGCCAGGTCAGCAGCTTTGTGACCAAATGAAATTCTGAAAATTGATCAAATGCTGCAGCTGGGCCAAACCAACAGCTGACCAGACTGCAGGGTTCATCCAGCTTATGGCCTCCTCTGAACCATCCACACTTTTTCTCAGCTATGTTGTATTCATGGAAGCTACTACACATTCTGGATGGAACAGCCTCTATCTGTGGTATGTAAAATTAAAAGCAAAAATAAACCTAAATACTTTTTAAGCTGTCCTTGGAAGACATCTGCTTTCTCTGCATCCTACTCTATGTGCACACACAAAGACACACAGAGGTTAAGGTCAAGCCATGCCAAATATTTTTAAACCTGTTTGTGCTGAAGCTACCTTGATTTTGTTCAGTCAAATGAATAAAAGATAAATTCGTGTTTAACTTCTCTAAAACATTGTGATTAGCAAATAAAATCTCATCCTGTTACGAATTTGTAGGAATCACTTATTCATAGTGATATAATAGAACCTCCAATATGGTTCAAAACAAAGGAATATTAGAAGGTATTCTAGTCTTGTTCAATGAATTTTTTTTCAATCAAGGCAAATACTTAACAGAAAAATTATGTGTGATTACTGTAGACTTTTCCATGCAAGATTATTTTTGTATCACAGGTGCCACGAATCACAGTGCCACCTTCCCACTGAAAGCCTATTGGCAGAAATAATCACAGCAGTGTTCAAAAGAGTGCCAGAGGTTTAAATCAACCAGAGCAGCTGATGTTCTCAACCCATTCACATCATCAAATCTGCTGTGTAAAGCGCACCAGGAAGTAACCAGTGAGTACAAGCATGCAAACAAGCAGTACATCACACCGCTGAGCATTTCAAAAACACAACACTGCAATCTTTTTTAAAAGTAAAACTTAAATATTAAAACTTAATATTTAAATGGTATCCCAAATGGAGTACAGAAGCCTTGTCTTTACTAACATTTGATGGTTCACTGAACAAGTTTACAGACTTTTTTTTAAGTTATACACATTCTTGGCAAATGAAACCAACGATAAATATCCATCACATTCAATGAGATCACCTCCAAATTATTAGATTTCTCCATCACAAACTTATCAATACATGACAAATCTCCCTATTGTCAAGGAGCATTTAACTATGTGCTTCAACAAAACTGTGCATCTTTTATTAGAATATGAAGATATGCAAACTCAGACACGTGGGCTGCAAAAAGGAACAAATCCCACAGTGGGAAGTCACTTTCTTTCCTCAGAAATGAAGTAGCAGATAATGATTCCAGCATAAGGGGGCAATGGGACTTGAAAAATTTGACCTTGGAACTCAGCCCAGTATCCATGATGTTTGAAACAATCCCCAAGATGGAAATGTTTTACATTACTGACTGTGAGTAATGTTTGGTGAGCAGTGAGTTTGCCCTTATATGGAGGATGCTCTTCATCACACCCTGACCTCTGGGTTTCAACTGTCACAATTAACTCCTCTTCTGCAAGCAGACTTTGGCAACTGCTGTGGTTTCTGCTTTCATTTAAATACTCACCTCTAATTCTCCCTAAAATTTCCTTCTAGTTTTTCCACTTTCATCAGGTGCTCCAATTTCCTTCACAGTATTTCAACCCTTTAGTATTCCTCTTTTTCCATTGATCATTTTGATTCTAAGTTAATGTTTTAAACAGTGCAGAAAATCTTACATTCACAATTATTTATTCAGTGTGATCTCTTCTATTAAAATGGGGTGGAGTTTTAGCCTGGTTGTTTTTGACTTCTGCTTTAAGTAAGTAAATCAGGATTATCTGAGCACTGCAGAACAATTCTAAGCAAGAATCAGGTTCCAAGAGAATTATGAAATCATATTCCTGAAAACACCGCTGAAAATAGTGAGAAAGGTTTTAACTTCTTTACATCTTCGATGATGTTCAAGATTGATATTCAGGAATTAATGATGGTAAGTATATTCATATAAACTTTAGACATCCAGCAGCCAGCTGATTTAAAGGATGGTATCTATAAAACTTCCTTTGTAGTCAGAGAAACAGTTTGCTGAAGCCTGTTACAGAGTATTCATTATTTTCCTGTTTTGTACTTAGAGGAGCTGTTCACCCTGCATTGGCCACAGAGGCAGCACAGGAAGACAAAATCAGCCCTCCCAGGGTGGTAAGGGACCAAAATAAGGCTATGACCACCTTATAATGTGTCTGCCACACCCTTAATGTTTGGAAGATTTCAGAATCTCAGTAAAATAAAAGGTTGTCCCTAGCTGGGAACTCAATTTTAATGATACAACCTCTCAAATAAACTGAAAAACATTTCAATAGTGAATAGAAAGGACAATTCAACTGTACTGTTTAAAGCATAAGCCCATCAGAAATAACCATAGTTAAGAAGCATAAGCAAGAGTAAGGAGGGAACATTCATTGTAATAAATACTAATAAAATGAGAGCAGCTTGCAAAGGTTTACTCAATTTGGATACAGGTTTGTCAGCTTTTACCCCTGTATCATTCTTTGAAATTAGAAAATTTTACTTAGTTCTGGTTCACTAGTATTTAAGCCACATGTTTTCAAGAGAGCAGGTATCTAAGGACATACTTAAAACTGTCAAGCAATTGTAAATTTAATTTTCATGTGTAATTGTAACAGTGTAATGATCTGCAAATCTGCACAGGTAGAACCAGAATGGAATTTTGCATAATATGGTAAACAGCCTTTTTTTTTTTTTTTAAGTCCATCCTTTTCTATTTGACTCTTCCATATTCCCTCAATCAACAGAATTGCCAGTGTCATAACCTGACTTCCCCACACATTTGGTACAGACTTACATTGTTTCCTTTTTCTTGTAGCAGCTTCAGGTTTTCTTTACATTGTTTGAGCTCTTCTGTGAGTGACTGGTTTTGTTGTTCAGCCACCTCATACTTTGCCTTCAGCTCGGAGAGCACAGTCTGTGTTCTTTCATACTAAAGACAAAGAGAGAACAATCTGTGGATCCCTGGACACCCAGCACACACTGACATCTGCTTAGCACACAGCTCCCTTTTCTTCATCTGCCCAGAATAACTTGCCTTGCATCAGTGCACTCTCTTGTCATAAAAGCAGGGTAGAATTTAGATTTCCTTTTTTTCTAAATTTGGCCAGCTTGGCAGGGCTAGGACTACTAAACCCAAGGAAATACAAATCAAATGCAAAGCTTTAATTTTTCTCTCATACCAATTATTCGTTATCATATTGGAAAGGACTGTAAAAACTACAAGGAAGAAACAAGAAACAGGGGAGCAAGTAGTCCTTTACATTTGAATAGTGATCTTCCATCTAGGCTGCAGCTTACATACTTACATCCCTCTAATAGATAGTTCAACACTCTATATGAAGCAAATCAAACCCTCTTCCCACATAGTAAATTCAAACGTTAGAGCAAGGCAGGCTTTAAAAAGATATTATGCCTTGTTACTGTCATGCAATAATCCTCAGTGTGGGTCAAGTACTGGGTGAATGTGACATGTTCCTACAGAATGGGTAGCTTTTCCTTTTCCAAACCCACGTTCTATTTTTTCTGTTCTAGCAGTCCTTCTGACTGGGCTTAGTAAGGACAGAACCAATGACTTGCAGTACTGGCATTCACCACGAATTTAGACTATGAGGCATCTCTACAAATAATGATCTGATTACAAAATAGATTAAGACAACTGAGATTTTTAGATTCTGAGAACTGTAAGGAATGTGACATGGATGAATTAACCACAGAGCAAACACAAGGACTGCAAAAGAAACTAAGAGCAGTGACTGGGGAAACATTCAAAATGCTCATAAGAGGAATCAAGTACGTGTTGGAGACTACAGCCTTCTTCCAGACAGTCTTTAGAGGCCAGGCAGATTAAATATATCCCCACAACGCTGCCTCTTCCTTCTGCACTTACAAATCCACTAAGATAAAAGGACATCTCTGTAAAGAATACGTAGTCCCATTGCCAAATAAAAAAGTTCAAATCTAACTGGGAAGATGAGACTGTAAAAAAAAAAGAATTAACTTTGGCTCATAACAGCTAAAGAAACTCTGGACCATGATGTTCAGAAGACTCTGAATAATGATTTACCTGTCTGAACATCTTAAAAGTAACTTCACTACAGTAATGCATGTAAGTAAAGTTTAGGAAGTTCTTAAAAAACATGTATATTTACCTGAAGTCTTCCTTTTTAGATTTGACTCCAAGTTTATATTTTCTTAGCTAGCATTTAAACTGCTTGCAATAAACATATGAAAAAAATTCTTTACTAGAAAACTTTCCCTTTTCTTTTAGTTTAAAAGGTCAATCATTGGGCATTACATTCTTGCAAAATGGAAATATTTCATGTTACCTCTTTCTGAAAATCTTTTGCTTGACTCTCAGCTTCACTGAGTTGTGTTTTTAGACTGGCTGCATCCCGTTGATGTTTTTCTCTCAAAGATCCCATCTGATTTTCAAGTTCCTTTCGAGACATTTCAAGAACACTTATATCGCTGGTTAGTGCTAAACTCTGTTTCTGAGAGCTGAAAAACAAAATCCAATTGATTTCTTAAGCATTTTAAATTTATACAAACAGGCACTTTTCACCCTTGAAAGTTGAATACATTGTTTTTGATATATAAATATCAGCTTAGAGCAATCACAGAAGTACAGATGTTAATGTCTCCCTATACAGAGTGCTGACACAAAAGGCTTGGTCTTGCTTTTAAACATATGTCCACAGCTAGCTGTGCATAGTTAACATTCAGAATCTTGTTTGGGAGGAAAAACCACCACCACCAAAACTCTTCAACTGCCGTGGTATCTCCTACACAAATCATTGTGCCCTTACCTAGAAAGCTCCTTCTCTTGCCGCTGAAGTTCAGATGTAAGAGAAGTATTTTCCTTCCTCAGTTTAACACATTCAGCTTCCAGAGCAATCCACTCGGCCTTCAACTTTTCAAGTTCAGCTGCAATGAATAAGTTTATTCAATTAAATAAAATTATTTCATGACTGCTTCAAGGAACACCTTTAATAAATGGAGGAAAAGCTGGCATCAGTTGTAAATTTCAAATACAGTTGTTCGTAACCATGTCACATGAATTCTCTCATGAGCACCAGTAAAACGTTACAGTAACTTCTTCTGTTATGAGGTTTATGATCCACTGCCAGACAAGTTACTTTTTTCATTAAAGCTTTCTCTAAGGTACAGAGGAGTAGAAAACAGACTTTTTATGGGTCAACTCTAGTACTTTAGAAACAGTGGTAGAAAAGCATATTGGAAGAAAATAATTTCCAAGGCTTGATAATAGCAAGATAATCACTAGATATCATGCCTCTGTTACAAGGAAAAGAATGTTTAAAGCACTAAATTTTGGTTAAACTTCATTAGAATTAAAAAGTCAGGAGCTCCCACTTAATAGGCTTAAACTATAGAGAAGCTACACAAGTTCTCTTGGAAAATTTTTGGCAGTATGAATCACTCAAACTAAAAATTTTGAACCTTTTCTAAGTGGAATTACACTTGGTCTACTGATATCAAAGAGTACCTAAGTTAATTCAGGCATAATTGACAATAGTTATTTAATGAAGCATGCAAAACATCTTTTCTAACACCACAAGCTTCGGTACACACACAAACACATACACGTGTGTGTGTACATACACACACACAGTAATGACTACAAAGGGACAGACGAAGAGTGATTTGAGTAACTGGCCTTCACCACAGTGAGCAGCATCTCTGGTAGTCATGCTCATGCTCTGTGACATCTTTCCAAATCAGTACCTTTCAGGCGAGAGGCCTCCTCCTGCTGCTGCTGCTCACACTGCTGGCATTTGAGCTGGAAACTGGCTTGCAGATTGACAACTTCTTTTTCATAATCCGAGGCATCTTTCCTCCACCGTTCCAGCTCCGCTCTCACTGTCTGCAGCTCGGTTTGCAATGTAGAAATATCTGTGTCTCGTTCTGATGCTGCTTTTTCTGCTACTTTCTGAAGTGACAGAATCTCATTTTGAGCACTGACTAGTTCATTTCGAGTGCTTGAAATTTCATTCTCCTTTTCCTTGCGAAGAGTCTCAATTTCTTCTTGTAACCTTTGCAACTGAGCTGGAAAGCAGATATTCACGTTAATATTTTTTCAAACTGTGTTTACAAAAAACCTAAAAACCTTACCTCCCTTTCTCAACACGTTGATATTTAACAGGACTAAAGAAGCCTAATGCAATTGAAAAAATGTATTGATCCTGTCAAATGCTGTAGCCTTAAAGAGGCAAGTATGTGGGCCATGTAACACAGAGAGTCAAAAGAAACAAAAATTTTGTCTGGACAAAGCTCTCTTAGACAAGGCTGTGCTGTGTGTGTGATACCAAAGCAACGTTCCAAAACCTAAAAACAAGATTTAGATCCAACATCACTCGAAGCAAAACAAGCATTAAGAGGACAAGGACATTGGAGCTTTCAGGGACAAGAGGAAAGCAAGAAAGCTTCTGTCCCAAGCCAAACATTTGCAAGGCTACATTGGAAATGTTTGTCTGTTCAGCAGTTAGCTTGTGATATCTATAAATATTTGAGACACAGAATAATTTCTACTGTGTTCTCAACATGCAGTAGAGGAAATACACATTATTTCTTTGCAAAAAGCATTTTTCAAAGCACAAGATTAATTTTAAATTGAAAGGGACAGCTGCATCATGTATACTGAGCAAGAGGGTCCTTTAGCATTTACAGCTTACTGTAAACATGCAGCAGTCATACATGAGGGTACTTGACATTTCTGCATGAAGCAAACTTCATAAATTATTCCAATCTACAACTCTTTCATTACTAAAGACATCTCTCAGCACATTTTTTATGAACACATACACAAATGGAATCCAGCGCAAACAGTTAAAAAAAAGTAAAATACAGAGGAAAGAGAAGTATGAAAGAACAAGAGAATTGCAGTTGTAACACTGATGAGAGTAAAGTGTTTAATTTGCTGCTGTTCTATTTCACTTTTTAACAAAAAATGTATTTCATCGATTTCAACATGCAAACAATCAATTATTAAATTACTGAAGAATTACTCTGAGAAGAAAATGTAAAATTCTTAAGATCACTTGAAAACCTAATGGTACTTTAGTACTTTAAAGTACTAAAGGTACTTTAGAGGGTCAGAATTACAGATTTAAAGTTGTATGTTTCAGAACCAAGGGGCAAAACAAGGACAGTGAAAAGCATGGGGAGGATAACCAAAGCTGAGTAGCCTTCCTAGGTTACTTGCATTTATTTTTGTCACCCCAATCCATTACAGAACATGACAGGAAGAATGTGAGTCTTGCTGTAAACTGATAGAGCATCAAAGCTACTCAAAAGAGACTTGCACCTCCATGATAAATACACTTGATATTTTTCAGTAGCTAGATATGCAGCAATACAGAAAGAGTTAATAAACTCGTACAGCCTAGAAACCTGGTTGATGTAACTCAGTTGATGTACAATGAAGAAGAAAAATTCACCTTTTTCATGCCCTCCTCTAAACAGGCTCCAGCAAGACATTTATCTCATTAAATACACTAAAGAAGCTATGAATTGCTCAATTCCCCACTTTGAAGGAAAAAGACATAATGGGAAAAAATATGGTAGTTATTATATATTGTAATACCTAAGAGCTATTATAGACAATAATAAACTAATTTAATGGCAATACCATGTAAGATGAAACAGTCTGTTTCATTTGCAGCATGATGGATTTTGAAATACATATGAGCAAAATGAGGCTTACTATGACCTCGTTTGAAAATAATTTCTACAGGCTTATACCAACAGAAAGCAAATGAAGCAGTGGATGAGAACAACCTGACAGGCAACACATGATGCATCAACAATTGCCTTTCCATGTATCCTTATTTTAGAAGCCTTGAACCCACCAAAATAATACACATTAAATCAGAAAGAACTCCAACTTGCTAATACAGCAGGTGCCTGAGCAAAGCAGTGCAAACCATATCCTCCTGACAGTATTTTCTTCATCAAGCCAAGCTAAACTACTGCTTCTTGGTGCTGGCAGCATTTCAAAGAAATGTGGTTTTTTATCCTGTGCATGTTGTTGATGAACAACTCTCCCTTTAGATGCTCATGCCTGAAAACAAGCAGAGTCTTGGACTGAAAATCCAAAGACACATACGAGTTCTAAGTTAGGTGGAGTTGTAGAAATAAATTACACAGGAAAGTTACTACTAACAATATGGGAATGGTTTCTGAAGCATTTGATATAATTTGAGAGGACAATTAGAAAGAAAACTTCCATTACATCTCTCGTTTACGTAAGCCATTACCTCATCCAAACCGAATGCTTTGCTCCTTTCATTTTTTAAAATAAGGAACAACAAGTTACTTGAATTCCCTTGCTCTACCTATGTGTTCATCTAATGAACCTGACATGTAGAGACATGACCTCTGTTCTTTCTCTGGTACTTTCTCTTCTCTGTCACAAACAAAGCCAACAACACTGGCTGGCCTAAAACACTGATTCCCTGAAAATGCTCTAGAAATGTTACTTCATTAAGCTGCTGTGCAGTTCACAGGGGCTGCCAAGACAGAACCCTGACAACTTTTCCCTAACTGTGAGATGTGTCACACCCTAAAAGTTTGGGAAGCAGCAAAACATACAGTGAACATCAGAACATTTCCAACTACAACAAAGAGAGGAGGAAACATTAGCAAGACCTCTTTTGAAAAGGATCCAGAAAACACAAAAGTACTGAATTGAGAAGAGGAATCCTGCAATTAAGTTTGGCTCTCAAGTTTCTACTTTCATTCTCTCTTTTTAGGAGGAAAAAAATTTATTCTTTTTTTGTGCATGGAACTATCAAATATTTTCTAATTTTTGTTACAGCATATACTACTTGGAGAATATTCATTATTAGCAAGGTAACACTCAAACTTAAATTGCTCCTCTCATTCTGAAGATGAGCATTCTTTAAGCTTCTCTTTCTTACAAGAGCAATGGCAGAAAATGTAAAGATTCTTTGCTGACAGTCACATAAAACAGAGTTATTACACAAGTTTTTCAGTGTAACTAGTATGTGACATGTACCAGATTATCCAAAAAACCACTGCCCAGAAAATAATTTTCTAGGGCTATTTTGACTTCCTAAGAAAGTCAGGACTGTCAGTCCACCTGCCTATCTGCTCATCTGCCTACCAGACATTTTTGGGTCCAAAGCAAATGATATGCTGATAAAGATCCCAAGGGATGAAGCTCCTGAGTTTTGTAATAATCAGTGGCTGAGTAGCTTTTCAAACTAATGCTTGCTCTAAGGAAATTGCAACATAACATAACATTTTTTGACCTTAAGGCTGGACAGACTGACAAACTCTTGATTAACAAGCTCACTCCCATGCATGGATGAGAAGTTAACGTGACACACAACATGTGACTCAGAAGTTATGTAAATCGTGGGATTACATCCTGCTCTATGCATTTTGGGCTGAAGAGTGTGATTGATTATATTAATTTTCAAAAAGGAGTGGACAGGGTCTCTGTTGCAGTAACTTTACGGCATGCTCTGATGCTGGATGTGGATCTGGATGAAAAATTCTTTGAGATCCTACAATGAAGAGACTGAGTAGCACAAAAACACCTAAAGCTTCTGAGTGCTCTGAAGGCAATCACAGTAAGAATTCCTGGATCAAAGCTGAGAAAGACTAAAGGGAGATGAAGAAGAGGTATCTATTACAGGTTACATCTTTTACATTTTCTAGTTTACTATTAGAACCATAGCAATTGAAAGGAAATATTCCATAAAAACATTCAAAGATATGGTGAAAGAAATCAGATTTAAAACATACACTCAACTAAACATTTTCCTTTATTAGTGACTATAATGCCACAGAAACAGACAAAACTATGTAGTTTCCCTAAAGAGTGGGGGAAAAAATTCTTACCTTGCAGAGCATTTATTTGCTTGTTGGATTCTTCAACTTGCACTCGGTATGCTTTTCTCTCTTCTTCCAAGAGAGCTACAAATAAAGTGAAAAGTGCCCAAGAGTTTTTGTTAGTAACATGTATTTCACCTGTGTAATTAATTTTAGTCACAACCTCTCCTTAAATGAAAAGATTAAACAAACATATTACTTCAGGAAGTTATCAAAGGTAGTAACTGTGTAAGTAGTTTAATAAAAGTTAATACTAAGACATCATTCCATTATTTTGGTAGTATTACAATTAATTCGAAATTGATATAACCTATTGCCTGATCTGAAAACTCCATGTGTGCTAAATGCAAATTCGTGTGGGAAGAAGGAACAAAAACCACAAGGCTGTAAATATAACCTCTAATGAAAACTGAACAATATGCAATTAAACTGGACTATACTATTTCTCTCAAAAACAGAGCTACATAGCTGATAGGATGATAGAACAGTGCTACCACTGAAGACAACCACATCCTTTATCTGACTGAAATAAGGATGAAATATACAGAGTTTATGTATTCAATACTATGAAAACATATTGGATTATTTTGAACTACCTGATATATACAATTGTAATGAATACCCTACAGAACCAAGTTGATCTGGGTCTCACCTTGAAGTTCAAAGCATTTTTGTTTACTTGTCCTAGCTAGCTCTTGGGCTTCAACCAGCTCCTTGTGCAGTTGCTGAATTTCTTGCTTAGCCCCAGTCTCTGATTGTGCACCCTGCAATTCATCTGATAAAAGAACATTTTATTTGAATCATAAATTTCTGCAACAGCTTAATTTGTACTGCCATGTGATGATTGACAAGTTTTTACTCAAATCTTCCCAAGTTAGTTAAAGTAAATTCAAAATTGGATTAGACAAATATTAGCAAAAATATTAATATACTTTTTAAAGTGTAAAACATATACAAACTTTAAAACATTCATTATACATAACATGCAATATGAAACAGAAATTAAGAAGGAAGAATTAGAGAGTTTCAAAAAACACTGTATAAACTGGCAAGGAGTTGTGGATTGACAAAACAAGGAACAACAAGCCTAAGACAATCCTTGACTGTGTTTACAACTTGTCTCTTTTTAAAGGAAGCTGCTCTAAGCCTGTCTCAGTGCACAGGCTCAGGCAAGAGTTGCTATTCCATGTTTCACTACTGCCACCCACCCAGCATATCACCAGGCTCAACCTCCCCCACTCCCTCTGGAGACCCACAAGGAAAGAAAAAATTTAGGGAAATTTCCTAAAACAAAATTAAGAAAAAGATTAAGAAAAAGAAGAAAATTCCAGCCTCCTTTTTTCATTCAGTGGCCTTAGTGAATACTAAGATAAATATTGCACTTGATTTTTTAAAAAAAAAAAATCTTAAAATATTAAGTGTATCTTTAATATCATCATAAATCTAGGCACATTATTTAAACTCTATATAAAAGCATTTGCTCTTCCCTGTAAGTTTTGTATTAGCTAAAATGCATATTAAATGCCTCTTGGACTTACAAGAGATGACTTGCAGTCACAGACAAATACTTTCACAGCTGAAGTTTTGGAGGAATTTAAAAGAGGCAAACTAAGTATCTGTTACTAAGAGCAGTGTCCTCTAATGGGCACACATCTAGAAATGAGATGCAGGAACACTCCAGCCTGCAGGCATCTGCAAAGCCAGGAAGAGCATCCAGCAAACTCTCATTTACTAGATTTTCCTTAAGCAGTATCTGTACACAAACTGATCTTCTAGTAGGCACCAACAGCACTGATAAACTCTAGAGGTAGAGAGATAAAACTTCATATAAAGCTAGTTTGGTGAGAAAGGTAAAGTAAGGAAATTGGTGAAAGAATTCCAGCTGTGTATCATGGGAGAGGGTGGATAGAAAAGGGTTACACAGTTACCTGGTCAATAAACATGTGCAACTAGAGACCATATGGATTCAAGATAGAGGCTTAGGAAAAATATTGCTTTGGTTTGTCTTTCATTAATAAGGAAAAAAATAAAAACAAACTATAATCTAGCTCATCATTTTACTTTTGACATTCATATTTAGCTGTATAGGTTAATAAAGTAATTATAGATTTTTTTTCTATTAATTAAGAAAATTGTTTAGCAAATCATGCTAAAGTCTTCACACTGCTTCTCTCTAAGGGGCTGTTTTTCCTGTACTCAGTAATGAACTGGTGGGTTTGAGCAGAGCTGAGAACACACATGTGCTTTTAGATTTTTTCAGAACAAAATTATGAGAGCAGAAAGAACAGAGAGGACTATGTATTTCATCCAAATACTTTGTTTTATAGTTTATTAGTTCTAAATCCAACTTTCTCTTTACTGAACATGTTTTGTTCTTAGCTTCTCATGGAAAAAGATTTAGGGCAATTAGACTTTCAAGCCTCCTTAATGAGACTTTTCAGAAGAAATGCATGAGGAAGTTGACAAATTATGCTCAAATAACGCCTGATGAAGAAGTGGTGTCCCAAATCCAACAAGGGACACCCTAAATGAACTTTATGGTGGCAGTGTTTTCCAGCCAATGAAAGTACACATCATAAAAGACAGTACTGCTTCAAAAGAGACAAGAGGCTCAGTTTAAGGGACAGGATAATCTGTTTAGCAAAGGCACAATCAAGGTAAACTCGTTCCTACATCAACACAAAAGGGGAATTTCCATGTGCCTGACATCCTTCTAAATCAAAAGCCAAGAAATATAAGCACAAGAAAATATTAGCTTTTTAGTCTTACCCAAACAGAAAATTCAATGTCTTGCAGTTCAAAGCAAATATAATTCTTGTGCTAATTCTAGTTTTAAAAGGTACTTCTTCAGTGAGTAGGATTGCCCTATTTACAAATATTAAAACTACTAAATATCATCATGCTTAGAATCAGTTCCCTTTGGAAGCAAATTCACATCACAACTAACTGTCCTCAGAGAAGAAGGAGTTACCATTAATTACAAGGTGCCAGAAAGAATTAAATAAAAAAGAAAAGGTCAAATACAGCATTTCTTCTACCTCATGGAAAATTTTCATCTGTGATCCATTTGTCTGCCACATTATAAGAAATGTTCTCAATTAATACCACTTTGTTTCCCACACAAGTACAGTGAGGCTCCCCTTAACGTTAACTCTAATGGTAATATTTAAATTGTTTAAAAACCTTTTCTTTTAAACTATTTTAATTTAAATTTTTTTTTTTTGTAACAGAGATAATACAGAAGTACACATAGGGCTGTGGTCTTAACTGATCCTTTATCTGTGTGTGCCAGGCCTGTGGAAGCAACTTTATAAGCAGCCTGAAATTTCTTCAAGCCTCACTTCTGAAAGGCCACTGCAGGATTTCCCAGGTTATTCAAGAGACAATTTACACGGTACTCCGGTGAAGTCAGACACAACAGTTACAGTCCTGAGATTTTTTTTTTTTGCTTCATAAGATCCACATGAAGGAAACTGTATCATATATTTATAATAAAGTTTCTGGTTATTCTGACATAAAACAATGGTTCCCAAACTTTCTGAGGCAACAGACCACTGCTGATTTTCAAAATTTCTTATGTAAATTGCCATTATTCAGCAAACCCTCAGCTGAAAACATTTCCTACTAAGATTCCGTGGATCAGTCTTGTAATTACTATAAAAACACAGGGACATTGGTAAGAACAAGATTACCAATTTTCCAATGATATTTATTGCTCCTTTCCATCTGCTTAACGTTTACCTGCCCTTAACTTTGCAATAGGTAGTCACAACCAACCTGTTTAAACCAAAATGTCCAGGGAACTGGAATGAATGGTTAATAAAGTCATTTTCTTTGTGGGGCAAAAAACAAAGTCAACTCATCTGTCACAGTTTCCCCCCTTCCCCTTCTTGCCAGATTCTGACATGTAGAAACTTGAATCAAATTCTGAATGCACTCAAAAATTTTGATGGCAAGCACTTAGAAGAAACTACAGCAATCAGAAGTCTCATAGTTTTCTTGTTCCATTACTTTATTTTGGAAATTTCAACAAGTCTGCCATTTCTGCATTCCAAACAGCCGCCAGATCAAAAACATTCTCACGCTTCCTTAATTATATGGCTGCATAACAAGTCCACTTGAAAACCTTTCTGGGGCAAGTAAGATCCTTTTTAAGGCAAAGTCAGGCACATGAAGTAGCTCTCAGAAAAAAAACTCAAACAAAACTGTGGGTTTATAGGTTCTTCATAAAAATTAAAAGGGCAAATGATTCATTGCACAGATATTTTTTAATGATTTCATGAGAGCAAAATAGGAATGACCATAAATAGCCTCAAGAGGAAGAGAGAAAAGTTGCTGCCAACCTCAGTTTTATAACCAAAAATAAGACTACTATAATGGCAACAAACAACATGATCAAGTTCTACCTTCTGGCATAGAAGGTCACTGAACATACTTGTTATTAGTTGCAGATATTAGATCAAACCCCAAATGGAACATGCCCGTATCTCAAACACTCCTTTCCAAACTGCTTTGCTGAACTCATGTCCACTGGGAAATATCAAACTCAATTTTATACATGTTGCCAAACAGCAAAAGTAATTTGTGCAATTTTTGGAAGCCTTTCCATTGTAAAATTGGGGAGTGTAAACAATTGCAGAGAAAAGCTCTTTTACAGGTCTCCTACATTCCGTTATAGTTTCCTTCCTTTCTGAATCACAAAGAACTGTGACATTCTTTTACTTGTGATTCCAATAAGAACATAATTTTAAAGATCTTATCAAGTGTCTAATTGTTAAAAAAGCATAAAATGATTTTCAGTAGGCTAAATGTAACAACTAATTAATATGCCAAAAAATTCTTCAGCTAACGAACATGTAAATATCAGCTTGCTAAGTAAGTATATGCCTTCAATGCAAAACCAGTAAAAATTTTACTTTTATAGCAATGAAGCTCAAAGCTAAGCCTCAGTAATCATTCCAAACACAGCTATGACACAAACTTCCAACCTTGATTGTGTTAAAAAGAAAATCTAATATCTTGTTTTGATTAACTCATCAGCTGCAAACTAACAGAAGCATTTCTGACAGTGATAGAAGTTATACAAGTAAAAATAAAAAATGTCAGTGATGGAAGAACCCTTCCTCTTCACAGTATAGCCTGAAATGTGTACTGACTCTACTTCTCAAGAGAAAGTTATAATATGTCAATTCCTAGAACAGCGTTGGTGAGTACAGAGATTACCTTTACAAATTATTTCTATAGCAACACTCAAATGTGTGTTTTTATATCACCCAAAGGAGTCATTACTGATATTTAAATTGAACTCTTCCATACTACACGATCAACATCTTTGAATTCCAGCATTCTAATTCAATGCACATTTGATAAAAACCAGTTAGATAAAAAGATTACATATAGAGATGATGTATCTAAATTTGCAAAAGTAAATTTGTTTACCTTTTAGAAGAGCTACTTTGACAATAGGTTCATTTAGATCTTGGTCATCCATTTGAGCATCTAAAAAAAAAAATCCACACCTTTGAGAGAGCAGGCAGACTGCAGACAGCTCTCATAGACACATTCTTGCCATGGAGAGAAGATTTTATGCCCTTCTCAATTTACAAGAGTCAAATTAAGAAGCCGCAAAATAGACAATACTGCTCTAAGCTTGTCTCTAACTCTACATAATACACTCTATTCCTTTAGGAAAAGGCTCATGATTACCTAGATTTAATTTAAACTAATTAGAGGTTACAGAATTGTCAGTTAAATTCTTACCTGTAGTGTCGTCACTGCTTTTTTCCTTGCTTGGGCTGAGGGTGTCAGACAAATCGTTCGATTCTTTGACTCGTGCTTGGTTCTCTGCAAGAGACAAGGAAAAGCAACTACAATCAATAAATGCTTTGTTCATAATTTCTCCTGTACACCAAACTACTGCTAAATGTCAATAGAAAACAACTTGGTTGAAGAAACAGTTAAAACCTGCTGGATGGTTATTTCTTTGCAAGTCTGGGCTAAAATGGATTCCGCATCCCTGGAGTCATTACCCCAGCCTAGCCTCTAATAAGGGACGCAATTGCCTCGTGCACAGCTTGAACTTGGGTTAATGCTGTGTTCCTGCCAGCTGGAACTGTGGAAGAGCTGATTCAATCAGCAAACAAATAAGAAAAGAAAACTAGAACAATGCAGATACTGTAGCAAGTCAGAAAGAAACTGCTGTTAAGAATAAAACTGTGCTTCAGTATTTGGACGAATAAAACAACAAGTCTTGTACATACCGCACTGTTCAAATGAAGTATGGCGTGAACCATTAAAGAATCACAGCAATATAAATTTATACACTAGTTTCTAGAAAGAATTTTCAGTTTAAATTGTATTAAGAGAAGAATGTGTATGTTTCCACAAAAAAAATTACCTTCATGAAATATCTGTTCATATATAATTTAGCACTTTATTACATGCAGCTTAGGGAAGCCACACATTTTGGTTTTTTTGGTTTGCTGGATTTTTTATTGTTTGGGTTTTTTCCCCCATTTCTAGATTTTTAGTAGAGACCACATATTTTCAAAAGATAAGGAGATTAATTGCACCAGTGCATCTTTGTCCCACACGGAATCATCCCTGACTCCAAGTCAAAATATAATATGTAACTGAAAAACATTTTAAATTTTTTTTCTTAAATAACAATTACGGTTTAGTTCTGATGGGTCAAATAAAAAGACACAGTATCTCTGGTGTGGGCTAACCCAGCAGGTCTGTCAGCAAGGAATTGTCACCAACATGCAGGTGAGGTTATGCAAAATGAAATCTTTCTTGGCAGCCTATTGAGAGCCTTGTTTGACAGCACTGCTGCCCACCTGCAGGTTAACAGAGGTTTCCTCTGAGTCTCAAGCTCCAGGCAGAGATATTATAAGAAAAGGGGTCAATACAGCATTCCCAGTACAGACTTCTACCATCCATGGAGAAAAACACAGCGAACACAAATAATTTCACCACATATAGATAACGTGCATGCAACAATGAAGTAGCAGCACATGGGAAGGAAAAAGCACATCAATAAATTGTGTTGTACAACAGGGTTAGTGTATGAAAATAAGTAAAAACCAAGGGAATAATAAGACATCTTATTAAAAAACAAGAGAATACACAGAACTAATTTCCTCTAGAACAAAAAGTGGAAACTGGAGACAACCTGTGCAGCTACATGAGGAAATAAACATGACAGAACACAGTTAGGTTAACAGAAAAAAACCTCCCAAGTTTTTTAAATCTGAAAGGAAAAGTTTTCTATAACCCAGTGCTAGATTAACATCCACTTGTACACGGAACAGAAGGCAGCAAGCACAAACAAAGCAGCTGATAAAGAACAAGACTCTTCCCATCCTAATGCAACCAAAATCACTAGAGAAGAGGAAGGGGGAAAGCACCTGTACAGTTAAAGCACACTAGAGGTTCAGACCTGGCAGATATTCCAAACACAACCCCCATTTTAGCAGACTTCAAAATTCATAATGATTGCTGTAGTTAAAAACTTAATCTTTGGGGGAGGATGGTTCTTGGCTAAAAAAGGGATCTTTCTTATTTTTAGGAATAAAGTTTTTAAACTACTATCTAAAGGTGTTACAAACCAAAACATTTTACACTCTCATACAGAACCAAGCTCACAAGATTGTTACCAAAACTGTAATAATTACTAAGCCAATACTAAACTATTAAGAAAGGTATAACCTAAAAGCCTCACCCATGTCACTTCTGTTAGTGGCCGATCCAGAAGCACTAAGCTGAACAAGATCCATATCCAACTAACTTTACCATATCTGGGCATCCATGGAAATACTGCTTTCCTGCTCTGAGCAAAATGGGAGGAACAGAGCCAGTTCCAACCACTGAATTAATTCTCTCTCCCACAGCACCCCCTTATATACTCCCCTCCCACCCACCCTTGGTATATCAGCTTCTTCCTCACTCCTGTCCTCCCCCTCTGAAACAAGGCACAAAAGATGAGGCACCAGAGGAAAGATGCACCAGTTCTACATGTGAAACAGCAGAAGACAATTTATTATAAACCTGCTTCCTATTCTTGAAGCAGACTCGTAAGCACAAAACTCTTTCCTGTACTGTATTATATCACAACAGTTGTTCCTATTTCCCATAATAAAACTGAGCTGAACAAATATAGCCAAAGTGATAAAGTATATTAAAATGTGTTGACATCATACTTGATGAGTTAGAATATATTACCAAACACTAAAAATAGCTCAGAGCTTTGCAATGGAAGGGGCATGCAAGTGTTACGTTACAGTTATTGTATGCATTCTTTTGCCAAATATGGCACCTTGTCTATAGCTTCCTCACATACAGAAAGGAGTTAAAGGTGCAATCCATGCATTAAAGGAAGAGAAGATAAATTAAAATGCCTTTAAAACACTGGAACTTTTAACAAACTAACATTTATTCAACACAACAACACTTGGCAGAAGGACAGAGGCTAAAGAACTGAGGTAGAATATCCAGACATCAATAAAAAGCTGCAAGAGAGGAGTGAGCCTGCAAGCCCAAACAATCTTACATTATTAGACACTTGAGAAATATTGACCTGCACACTTGGTAGCAATCCTGACCTTGGCATTGTAAGGTAAGGATGACTGTTCCTTGACTTAGCTCCTTTAATTTAACTTGCTTTATACATTAGAGAGGCACAGATATATTTTACTTGTAAAAGACAGATTAGGAGGTTAATACTTATTTTAAAGTTATCAGGGTGTAAGATAGAAAATAGTCAAATTAAAATACGCTTTTATTTAAAACTTAAAATTACACTAAACATTATTTCTATGTGGCCCTATAATAAAACCAAAATCTTGTTTAGAGTTCATGCAGGCACTAAAGCTTGAATTGAATTTACAAAAATTACTTAAAAAAAAAGCATATTCAAGTAAGAACTCAACTGTGAGACTAGCATTTCATGCACTCAATCTTCAAAAATGGTTTCTATTAAATCTTTTTAGCCTACAATAGTACTTGGAATAGAGTTCAGCAAACAATTTCCCTCCCTTTTATTGAATTTCTTCTCAAAAGTGTATTCAATCAAAACTCAAACTGCTGAACAAACACAAAACATGCACTGAGTGACAGAAAAAGCATGCTTCAAAAACAGTTAAATAATCCAGAAGTCTAACCTTTCAAAATCTTTGTTTCTTCCACTTTGGTTAGATGTCCTTCATCTATGATCTTGTCTGCCAAACAAAATAAGTGTTACTTTCCAAGCTCAAATTTTCCCTGCACGCATCTACGTAGAGTACATTCCATGACCAAATTAAAAGCTGATAATATTACTTCCTACTCAGGCTTGAACAAAAACTTTATTCTGGCACTGAATAATGAAACAGAGCACACAAGCCTACTGGAACTTTGTCACACAGAGCACAATTATTTCTGCTTATTAACTTACATAATGCTGCAACTCACCAATGAGAATTTAGAAAAATTAATTTTATGTACTTAAAAAAATCTAATCAGAAGCAATAAATAATTAACACATTTCTCAAGTTTGGTTATCAAAAAAGGAATTCGAAGAGCTGGTTGCATGAAATAGACATCCACCCAACACAGCAGAAATCTAGAAATGTACCACAGTAGAACAGCAAATAGAGAAGTTCCCTCAACATCACAACTGCTTTTAACACAGCCTGTGAAAGGTACACACAAACAGCCTTTCTTTGTTTAAACCTTTCAAGAGAGCTGCACAAACCTCAAAAAAAACTAGGAATGCATTACATTCAAGTTCATGAAAAATGGAGTTTTTACACAAAGTCTATTTAGGGAAGTCTACTCATGTATGTAAGGTACACAAAAATCTCAGAAGTGGAATTTGAGACTGAATTGCTAACTTCATCCTAACTCCTGCTAGGACATGAAGGCAAACAAGAATAGTAAGGGAAGAAGAAGATTGGACTAATCAAAGACACGAAAAAAACTATTTAAGAATTCATTTCTTTTTGCAGATGAGCTTTCATTATTTCTAATTCCTTAACAAATGATGCCAACACAGAAATATCGAGGGTCCCATCTTACAGATCACATCCTCCATTTCTGTGCAGTACATTTTGCAGTTTAGTTCATGTTGAAAGCTGTTAGCCTCTGAAATACCAAGCTTGAATCTGCCCCGCCTCCCCTCCACGCTCTCCCTGTCAGATCCCCCATAAGCAGACAGGGAATGCAGTTTGCTGGATACTCCACGTGCTGTCAGCAGGTAACTGAGACACAGAGAAGGCTGAATGAACAGCACAAACAAGGGAGTTCAAACTAAAGAAGCTGAACAACAGTAAATCCTCTTCAAATTAAAAACAAAAAAACAACCCAATCAACCAACCAAAAAAACCCACAAAAAAACTTTAGCCAGCATTTCCAGCTTCAAGAATCTCTGAAGATGAACTTGTCCCTCTATTCCTCTGATGGCATGTTGCTGTAACTATGACAACCTAAGGACAGATGCAGGACAAGGTCTGGCAGATCTTTTACAACCCGAGATGGTAGACAAGATTTCAGACAAAAAGCCCTGAAGCCTGAAGAAGGGTTTTTATGGCCAAAAGGTTGTCCTTTAACTCTTCCTTCCTCCACACAGATAAATGAGTCTAAAAGAGATGTTCCCTCCACCTACTTTTATCTACAAATATTATCCTGCATTAGTGTAACATTTTACTAATATTGCTTCAGAAAGACATGAACAGCACACTGGATTTTCAGGACTGGCTTCAGGTCTCAAGCAACTGCAGGAGATCAGTCATCATCCAAGTTCAGAACAGCCTGGAGTTCCTCAGAGCTGGTGAGAACGACTGTGCCTAGACTGAGCAGGGAATCAGGTTACTGGCAGCCACAAGTCAGGAGCTGGAGTGATAACATGAGTCCTCTTCCATTCTAAAATAAAATACAGCTAAACAATCTAAACATTATTCCAGGACTCAGCCGCGGCCAGAAGAGGGGTGGAAGGGAAGGCAGCAAGAAAAAAGCTGAGGAATTCTTGCTGAACACAAAAACAAGTAGCTGTCAACTGCTTGATCTGAAGGGGTAACACCTCAGCCATGCTAGACTGCTAGCCTAAAATAAGCTTCTGTAATCAGCTTACAGAGGAAAATTTAGCATTATGAATTGATGGCCCTTTTAGCTTTCACAATTCAGTAACTGCTAAACCCTAAGTAACTGCAATACAAAACAAAATACAAAACCCTTCTTGAAGCAGAAGTTTTCCAAACTGAAACGTCTGCAGTTCTTTACACTCCATTTCCATGACTAAAAGAAACTGCAGGTATGGGTTTTTTGTTGTTGTTTTTTTTTTTTTTTCCATGGTGGCTAATTGTTTTCTAGCGTCCATTACTGATTTCACCATTTGTACAGAAGATGTCTCCTTTGCACTGGTTCTTCAGCCAAGACCTTGAGCAGCAGCACTCAAGTCTCTGCCCAGCCAGACCCAAAGCTGGCACAGCCAGTGCTTGGCACTTGGTGACTGAGACACCTCTTCTAACTTTCAGAACAAGTGAACATTCTCTGTGTTTCAAGAATGCTATCCCTAATATATGGCATAAGCCAACAAAAAAATAGTTTATTTCAGCATGCTGGTATTTAGATAATACACAGAAAATTGGACGTTGGTACCACCAAACTCCATAGAATCTTATTTTTCACTGTTACCACCAAAGTCACTAAAAATGGCAGAATCCAGACAACAATGAGAAAGAAAAGATAGAGACGACTTTTTAAAAATATCTCTTTCAAAGCTCTGTATTTTTTTTATTTTACTAATTCAGAAACTTCATAAACCTGATTTGTTTTTAAATCAATTAGTGTTTTCCCTGAATCAAGACATGCAATCTTGGCTACCAAAACATAAATTAGGGCTTTAATTTCTGGCACAAAAGAACTTTGGCTTTCAGGCTATCCAGTCTCTACTTAGCACAAAGCAAAGAGGTACATATAACTCATGTTTTTACTGACACAGACTGCTGTGAAGTTAAGCTTTCAGTTTGTCTTTAATGTAATTAATATTTCCTTTTGCAGCTTAAAGTCAGCTTTCCTTTAGGTTTTTAGGCATTTCCTATCTTTTCAATTTAACAACTCCATTTTAGATTTAGGTTGCCTAACACTATGTGCAATCTAATAACTAAGATCTGTTAACATTACAATTATCACTTAAGTAACATGGCCCCTCTACATTTATATTTTGGCATCAAAATAGTCTTTGAAGTAGGCCAGGTTTGAAAACCAATAAAAAACCTGTCCATCAAGGCACAAATTTCCATCTGAAAACAGTGATACTAAACAGCTTTAACTTTACTTGACACCTGCAGGTCAAAGGAGAAGTTAAAAATAATTCAATCCATTCAATCCATCCAAAAACTACTATTAATAAATTTGCCAAAAATTAGCTTGGTGTAAAGAAAGAAGTTGACTTGCATTTAAAATTAAATGCAAAAATCACAAAATAAGGGAAAAAATAAGGACACAAATAAAGAAGGGTTAGACTGGAGTGAAAGACAGGAAGCTAACAGTGCAGCAAATCTCACTTGGGTCTATACATCATCACATTTTTCTAATAATGCATATCATGTACTGATCAAAAAAAAGCACCATGACTTCTGCTCTTGATATCACTGATTTTGACCAGTGGTTACTAAAAAAAACAAAACTATGGAATGAGCAACAAGTGAACTGAATGTAATGATCAGAAAGTAAGAGACTTCCCAGATCATTCAGAGCCAGATTTCATAACACTTCACAGATGTTAGAGATCAGGACACATTACTGGATGAGATTGTGAGTTCACTGTGCTTAAAAATGAAAAAAAAATCTACAGAAGCTGGATTTTACAAACTGTCTGGTTTCTGGGATTTTTATTATATCATTATTGTTTAAGTAATAAACCTGCTCCTCTCTAAGTACTTAAATCTCTGGGCAAAACCCCAGCATACTACCACAGGATGAACTAGATATTCTTCTGTATTGCCAATCTTTATGATATTGTTCATCACTATTTTCTGTGTGATTTAGAACTTGATTTCCTGACAATCTCTGGAACTGTAATTTTTCTCCCCAGGAGTCCCCAACTCTTGATGCTACACGGAGAAAAGAACAGGAGTAGGACTGAAGGGCAGCATTCACACACAAAAGGAATAGTTCCTAGTCTGCAGTTTTTAACCTCATGATATTGTGAGGCATGACTAAACACATTTGAAAGTGAAAAAGGCAGACTTTCAGTCCAAGAAGAAATAGAAGAGTCAATGATTTGGATTTTTTATTGATTTGAGAGTAAAAACTTAAGACTGTCACAAAAAATGCAAAATATTGAACCCTTTTGAACTCATTCATTCCTTAAAAAGTGAAGCAGTCGAGGCCTTGCACTGTCTTCACTCTAGTTTTCAATGTCTTGAGAAAGGGTAGGCACAAATCCACTGATCTTAATTTTACTCTTATTAGTACTCCTTTTATATCTTAGAATATTTTACTAGATACCCTTGATCACTTTTCCTTCTCAATAGTGACAGGACTAGTCACATTTAGTTTGCAGAAGTGATACTAACCTAAGTTTTGCCAAAATAGGTTAAACTAATATCCAAACAATGAAAACAGGCAACCAATTTGTATTTGAACATCACACAGTGTGTTCTTCATGTTCTAGACAAAAAAATATTTACTCAAGCATTTAACTTCATTTTTACGTACTGAAAAAAGAGGATTCATACAAGATCTTTGCAAAATTTAGAAATATTTTATACTGCAGCCTGACAGAAGACAGCTACCAGTCAATTTTTTAAATAAACGTTTTTCAAATAAATAAAGTTGAAATTTTCTTAGACAAACATTAGCAGTATCACGTCATGTGGTTTATGGCACTGCAATCTGCATCACAAGCAGTAAAATCAAAGTCTGCTACACTTCTGCATGAAAATTTGAGAGGAAAGAGTCCAATGGGCATAATGTCAAAAATGATCCTGTCTTATTTCTGCTTCTAAAGGCTTCTCTGCTCAATTTTAGGTACATAATTTCTATAAACTCTGAAGTAAAAAAAAAAAAGCAGGTTTTCTTGAAGTTTAATAGCACTTTGCTTCTCTGCATATTTAGGATATTTTTCTTTCAGCAGGCAGAAAGTATTAACATCATCAGTTTTGCCTTAATATAGATGTGCAGACAGTGCTGTTTCATTACTCATTTTCAAAAGCATTTGCTTTGAAAAACACGTTTCACATTCCAGAACAACACATCTATCTAAAGACTGGTATTACAATTTTCTGCTTTTCTTAAAAGAGTCTCTTGGATTTCCACACACAAACTATGGACTTGTTTTCCCTTTTGTTCTTTTGTTACAACTAATTTGGAGAACGTGTAAGGCCTTTAATTATGAGATAAACAATAGATACGTGAAAAGGCACCTCCTCATTCTCTATCCTCTGCTGCCTGTGATGTTCGCTTAAAATGACAGGTTTCAACTTCATTTGTACCAGGTGAAAAATTACACTCAGTTTTAATCACCATGTGGCAATATCACCACTCTTTTGTTGGTCAGGGCACAATAATGGATGAACTTTGAAGAAGACACAATGTGACCTTGCAAGTGCCAAGATATCCTACTACTGCTTTTACCAGACATCTGCTTGATACCACAATGTCACAACTCTACGCTTAGAAAATTTCTGCTATGACAGAAATATTAAATAGCAGTGCCAAATTCAGGTTTCATCCACCTTTTATGTGTTTTCTGTTGTTTTTAAAGCAAATGTGAACACTCTTGTACTCACTCTGACATTCTATGAACTGATGAATAAAAGTGCAGTCCCCTCCACTCTTTGAAAGAAAGTGCTCTGGTAGAGAAAGAAACACTTCAGTTTACATCTTCTTATCATTTTCAAATTGATGCAACAAAAAATGTGAAAGGCATGTTAACAGTATTTGTCAGGGTATTCACAATGGACTTTTGAATCAAATCTGAGTTAATATGCAAGCAGACAAGACAAAATTGAAATGATGTCTGAATGGTACTAGGAAAAAGATTACTCTTTTAAACTGATCAGGACGGACTTCAGCTGCATTTTCAAAAGAAACATGTTTTTAACCTATATTCTTCAGCATTTTTATTAGCTTTAAACAAGTATTTTCAAAGGTTTTCATTAATCTTCATGTTGAGTCTTCATATCTAACACCCTCTATTTTATAAGTGTTGAATATATGTCTATACTTTTTAAACAGTTTCACTTTGAAGAGACAGTTCTGCAGCAGAGCTCCTAAAACTCAGCTCCATTCCCAAGTTTACTCAAGTTCTTGTTCAGCTCCCAACTCCCTCAGAATCCTCCATCTCATCAAGGTGCAAACTCCTCCTTTCTGAAGGACTTCAAAAATCCTTTGACCAAGAGTCCAGCAGTGGGAAAAGGCTGTCATTAGGACAAAGCTGTAGAACGTTGTACACTCTAATCCAATTGTTCAATCATTAGCTCTGGCATCAGAAGCTCAACTGCAATACTAAGCTTTACTTTATTCCAAAGTCACTCTAAAAAGTAAACTGCATTTTAACTCACAAGGACAGAGCTTTTAAAAAACAGCATCACAGCTGTAAAGTTCATTTTCCATATTTAAATCTCCTTTTTAATTTATTTTCATTTTTACCTGGTTTTCTAAGTGACTGTGTACAAATTTCTTGTATCTTGCTTTATGTAATATATGGCTCACAAAACTTAAAAGATGAAAGCCAGGTGTGGTGCAAAAAACACTGACAAAAATAGCACTTCTTGAAACAACTTAATTCTACAGAACTTTTACCAGGGGCTTACTGTACAAACAAGTTCCTCTTTTCTGCACCAGCTTTTCTGTATGTCCAATCTGCTACAGCCACAGAAAAAGGAATGCAGAACTATTTTTACTGTCATGGCCAGGTAGTGTGCCTGTGCACATACTTGGAAAGAAAGAGACACAAAAGGAATGTTTAAAAGCATACTGATTATTCACGGGTTTTATAGTTCTCCTCTTTCATTACCAAAGTTACTCGATCCGTGTTATAAACCCAAAATTCTGAGCTCTTCTAAAATAATGCAACACTACACAGGAAAAAAAAAATCGAACCAAAACAAACAAAAAAATTAAAACTTCAAATACCCCACCAAAAACAAACAAACAAACAAAAAAAACCCAACAAACAAAAAACCCACCAAACCAACCAAACAAAAATCCAAACACCTCCCAAAACGGAACAAAACACCCCAAAAAACAAAACAAATAAACTAAAACAAAAAAAACCCAAACCAACAAATAACCCCCCACAAAAAAAGCCCAGCAGTAACTGCTTCCTGCTGCTTTTATGAGAAGGAAATCCAAAATCCGGCAGAGCAAATAACTGCCCATCTGTCATACAAGGGCTACATAAGGGACTGGAAGATGCAGAAAGGCACAGCCTGTCATGAAGAGAACACAAGGCAGCAAGCTGTGAAATGCTAGAGAAATGGGGATGGATCAGGTATGGCAGAGATGCAGAAAAATGTACTACTGACAGAATAATTAAAAACTATGCTAAAATACAGAATAATGATATAGCATGGAATGTGCATGACAAAAAAGGTGATAGATTGTATAAACACACAGAAAGAACTTGAATGAGCAGTTATGTGTTGTCTGTACTCCAAGAAAAATAACCTGGCAAACAGCTTCCTAAAACCTCCAGATTTAAACATATGTTCCACTGGTACTCATAGGATGGAGGAATTGTCATACATCAATTCACATGACATTGACTCTTGTACAACTCAAAATAAGTTCCAAAGGCATTGCTTCTTCACCTTTGACCAAAAAAGTGAGTTTCATTGATATGATATTTGTTATAATCACAATGATTTTTAAATGGGCAATTTTAAAATTTGGACTTGTAAAAGGTATCAGTACTTAAAAATCTCACATGACATTCCTACCAACAATTTAAAAACAAACAAAAAATGTTTTTTTTTTTAAAAAACGCCAAATCTAGTATGATGTTACAAATTATTCCTCTATAAAATAATTCACATTTGAAGTTAGAGCTCAACAGCTTTTACCAAATGTTTCAAATTAGCTCTAGTTTTAAAAAGAGAAAAGCAGATCTACAATTCTATCAAATATTAAGCTGTTATCAACCTAAAATTACACATCAGCAAGATGGATCAATCTATATAAAAATAAAATCTCATGGCAGTGAAGCCAAGTGGGAACAACCATAGAATGTCCTGCTTGCTAAGCTCAGTATGCAGCACAGGCAAGTGCCTCAAATGCTAAGACACTTAGGGGCAACCAGTACTCTGAGCTTTAGGGGAGGTTTTGGTGCAGTCCTGTAGGTGTTTAATAGATCTCTCCTCCTGCTCCCAACAAGGACCAGCCATGAGGTTTTGTCATAATTAATTTCTGATTTTGTTATTGGTATCCCTAGTTAAGAACCTCATAATTTACAAATATGCATATGGAGCTTTAAAATTCTGTTTCAAGAACATAAATACAGGAATCCTTAAACACTGTGAATATTGGTTAAAAACATGAGTTTTCTGTATAGGTCCCTGAACCTTCAAACCAATGCTACCACCATCCTCAGATTGTAGAAGCAAGCTACATGAAGGAAAAAATTTAAATTAACATGAGAGGACAAGTATACCTCAGCCAATTAAACAACCTGGAATTATAACTGGAATATTTTTTGCTCTATGTGATATTGGACAATTTCACTTAAAAAACTTTGCTATGACATATGTCTTAAGACACATGAGCTAAAATATTTGGCTCTAATTGGCCTTAAAAAAAACCCTATCACTTAGTTCCATCTGTATTAATACCTGTTTCACATTAAGATACTCCTGAGTTTTAAAATGTTAGTTTCCACTGTTTATAAATTTTATATATTCACGTTTTTCATATTAAAGTTATTAAAAAAACAGGTTTTGCTGACTTTACTTAGCATACCCAACTTTACTACAAAAACCCTGTATGTCTATGTGTTGCAAGGGAAAATTAAAAGGAAAAACAATCAATGAGTTCTCCACTTTCTTGTGCCACAATCCTGACATCATTCAATCAGTAGACTCCTACTGATTCCAGTGACAGCCCATCACAGACCAAAAAACAACCCAACAAGAAAAGACAGCCTCCAAGTGGTTTTGCTGTACTTTACAGAACTTTCTAAAAACACTGGAACTGGAAGTAAAAGCAAAAAAAAAAAAAAAATGCTGGTCAGGAGTGGACAAATTCATTTGCAAAGAGAAAAAAATTCCACACAAAACTTTAGAGAACACGTTGAATTTGTTCATTTTCAAACATCAACCATAAAACAAAAGGTAGCCTTCAGATACACTACCTTTCTCTGTGCTCCCATTAATTTTAGGTATGAAGTCGTCAACTTGTATGCCTAGGATTAAGAAAGGGCATTATTTTTGGAACCAAGAAAAATGGTTTGGGTTTTGTTTCTTTATAAACACAGCATTTTGAAATGCACCTTTTCATATCACGTCCTCACAAGTACTTAATCAGACAAACGAGGCAAAATTTGATGTGTTTCCTGCTACAGATCATGTTGCTGTTCGTTCAAACGCCTAAGAGCTTATTAACTCCAAAGAATTACTGCCTATTACATACATACACAAGTGTATTTTTATATAAAAGTGTTTTAAATCCAGCGGCTCGAAGGTCCCGCCAAGCCTCGGGCCGGAGCGAACACCCGCAGCAGCAGCGCCCTCTGCCGGCCCTGCCCCGACACCGACCCACCAGTCCAGGAATGCTCCTACTGGGGAAACCGGGAACCAGAACCCCGGGAACCAGAACCCGATCCAGAACTTCAACCAGAACCCTTCTGCCAGACACCGAGACCAAAAGATTATCATAACAAAAGGAACGGAACAGCAAACCAGAAAACCAGCTTGAAACAAGAAATTGATCATACCTACCTAAGCTGTTGTGTTCTTTAAGAGTTTTCTCTTGAAGGTGTTCTAACCGTACTGTAAACAGAAGTCCAAGAAAAAGGTATTTCACAGATTAAAAGAAAAACAAATAATCCAAGTTTTTTCCCCGCTATTGACTAACCTTGTAAAGCAGTCAGCCGCTCATTGGTGAAGTCATTATCAGCCTGCAAAGCTTCTATTTTGGCCTGAAGCTCTTGCTCTCTTTCTTCCATTTCATCTATTTTATGCTGCAATTCCTTTTTCTCAGCCAGCCCTTTTTGTTGGATTTCTTCTTGTCTTCCTTCTGCTACCTGCTCAAAAAGATTTTTAAAAATCCCCCCCAAAAAATCAAAATTAACCTGTGGAAGAATAGATCTTCTTGATTTTTACGTAACTAAATGTACATAAGTAATTTTCTTTGCTAATCAAATAAAGAAAACTGAAAAAAATGCAAAATCTGTTACCTTTATACAAGTTTCACTTCAAGTAGACTGCAAAAACCTCAGAATATCTTAACTAACTTTTTGACTGAGCAATATAAAATTTAAAACAACAGTAAAGGGCCCTAGAACTAAGAAATGCTCAAAGTCTCCAGCATCTCAATTCAATCAAAACCCAAGAATCCTTCTGAACTGAATGTACACTGCACAGACCACTTTGATTGAAAGCCACATCTTTTTCCTTGCTGGATCTCAAGAACATAAATTTTAAACAGTCTCCTCCCTCAAAACAAGGTAATAAGTTTCAGTTTGATCCTTCTGGGTATAACAGGTATATTCAGTGATCAACCCATTACAGGGAAACCAACTGCCTTAAGACCATCAATTTAACATTATAATTTGGAAAGAAAAAATTCTCTGAGGTACTAAACTAGGAACCTAGGTTCCAATTCCAGTATTTTTCCAATATAAATGCAAAAACTGTCTCAGGTCTCCAGAGATAACACCACTACCTTCCTCCTCCACAATTCATCCTTACCTAGATTGGAGACTCCTGGAGAACACGCTCTATCATAAAGTGATTGTTCTGTTCTCCAGCATAAAGGACCTTAAATATTCTTATACTTAGACATTTAGTTTAATATCAAACTTGATAGCAAGATGGAAGATGAGACATTATTACAATGTGGTGGACCAGTGCTCTCTGTAACTGCACAGAGGCAACACGAAGTGCAAATTTATGTGTAATTCTAGCTTTTATTCCACTTACCTTTCTGATGATAAGCTTGAAAGTTATTAGTCCAAATAAAAGCACCTGGATATTAAGTTTTATACTACACATCATTTTATACTGTAATTTATTTCAGTCCCGTAAGTATGGTAACTTTCAAAATGAATGAGGAGGGAGCCTTTTTAGGAAGTTACTTAACTGATGACAGTTTCAATTACATTAAAACTGAACCCAGATAATATATAGATGATATGCATCTTTCTATTGTTAAACGTTGTTTAATCAGTTTCTTAACTTTTTTTGTTTGCTACATTAAAAATTACTGTATTTATTTGTTCATTTTATCATAGTTTTATCCTCAGTCAGATGAAATTGTCATTACCTTGAGCTTGTCAGAGAGATCTTTAATTTCATTTACAGCTCCATTGTACTTATTAGCTAATTCCCTTAATTCTTCCTGAGTCCGCTCATTCATTTCTTTCAGATGTGTACATTCATCTTCTGTGTTACTTAAACTCCGCTGTAAGACAGAATTGTTATGCAATAAATAGTAACAACTGACAGACAATAAACTACCAAACACTGCAGATGATCTATTTTTTTTCCAAATTTTTTTAGCTTGGAACTAAGCAACTAGTCTTATGAGACTTCTTGACCAAGGGAATATAGCAAATAATAATAAAGGAAAAGAAAAGAAAGGAAAAGAGAATAATGCAAGATATTAGAGGGGCAGAAATCTTGCTTCAAAAGAGTGCCTAACACTTTAACTGTATCAGCTGATGATAAAAGCTCCTTTAAAATTATACTTTGTACAAGTAATTAAGTGCATGTTTCCATAAATGCTACAGTTTAAACAAGGTCTTACAGCATTCTTTTTTAATGCATGTATGTAATTTTCCCTCTGTATGTCCCACACACATTAACTTCTGTAAAAGAGTATCATGAATTCGGAAAGGTTGGAGAAAAGGGAAGAGCTGAAACAATAGCTTCTCATTAACAGTTTAGAAATCTTAGTCCTATCCAGTAGGATAAATAAACACTACTACTTAATATCCTGCAAGTGTCAGAGTACAACAGATGCTGACATATTACAGCAACAAAGCAGGGATCTAAATAGCAGAAGTTACAACTATTTCAGCACTTCCAGAAGACCAGGCATGAAACTTCAGTACCTCCACTTCAGACAATTTTCTGACCACTTCAATTTTCTCCTGAAGGACCCGCCTCAGGGACTCTTTGGCTGTTGTCTCATAGTTGTGTTTGTCTTCCTGTAATGCTATAAGCTCTTTTCGTATACTGTCTTCTGTTTGATTCTGCACATATAAAGTAATTCAAGAATAGAATAATTACTGTTTTGCTCATTAAATAATTAGATTGTGATAAAACCTGTTCTATTAAAAAATGTTTAGCAATTTCTGACAGATGAGAAAATGTTATGTACAAATCAGTGATGAAAGATTCTTAACATTGACTGGGTATAAGTTATTTTTTGAAGAGTATGTATAGCAGCACACACTCAGTGGTGAGTTTTGATCCCATTATGGTGCTTTTTTTGGGCACTGCTAAGACAATGCCAAGCCTAGGAGACATAGAACTGAACAAACCAGGTCCCAGAAGAAATATCTTAAACAGGACCTGGAGAAAAAGTCCTTACAATGTAGATAATTGAGAGGAAATAGAGATAAAATTAAAATTAAAATCCAAAGCAGGCATACGTGGCCTAAGCAACAATCAGGGCAGCATACACTTGTAACTCTGAATATCAGACAGGACATGGGCAATGAAAACAGCAGACACTTATTGAAATGCCTTGAAATACAGAGCAGATGTACAGTTTTTGTGCTCCTCACATTATCAAAGTTGCACAGGCTCATTTTGGAAAGTTTACATTCCAAATGCTTTCCTACAACTAGATACTTTCAAAACACTTGGAAAGAGCTGCCTTTCAGAATTCCTAATATTTGACTTTAAGTGAACTACTTACCTTTGAACAAGCCTGTAACTGATTTCCCATAACCTCTAGTCTTGATAGCAGCCTGTCTTCATCTATTAAAGCCTAGAGGAAAAGAAGCATCACCTTAGAATTATCACACAGTTAATGTAGTGCCAGTGGAGTTCTGCTTTAAAGATAGGAATTTTACTGGAGTACTTATTGCTAATAGCTATTTCAAAGGTACACAACCACTACATTTATTAAACACTGTCTTTTGCACAGTTTTAGAGAATCTGAATTAAGTTTTGATTATTTCTGCTGCTTTTCCTCCTCATTAACAGCTAAAATTTCTATGGCAGTGCATAGTTCAGTCCATAAGGAAAGGATGCCTGCAGATACCTGCCAACTAGTATCTGAAGCCTCTTGTGTGACAGCAAGTAGTCGCTGAAGGGTTGCCAGCTTCTGTTCCAACATTTGTTCTCGATGTAAGGCTTCCTGTGAAGAGAGGAGGGCACCAGTCAGTTCAGCTAGAACAACTCAGGAAATCAGAAGCAACAGAAGAGATCCCAAAGTACAATAAAAAAAGGAAAAGTGAATAGAAAACACTGTCAATTTGTTCAAGACCTATTCCACTTTATCCATTCACAAATTTATTTGGATAGTTTAATTAGAAAATGCTATCCTATAACCTCACGTTCCTAAACCCTTCATTTTTCATGCTGTGCTGCACATGCTGAGGACACACTCTTATACTTCCTGACTTAAAGACACTTTGTCTTGTCAATAATTTGAGTAACAAAAATGTAGACACCAAAAGACAGCTTGGCAGCTTCCATGCAATGAGCTGTTCGTCCTCAAATGAGGTCACATAAGAGAAATGCCAAGCAAGAACTACTATTTTTGTGTGATTTTTGGTTTATGACAGGAAGATAGAAGAGCGTTTTTGTTAACTCCAGGATATGGAGAGTGAACAGATTGGTGAGTGAATATGTATTTGGCTTCCAAAGAAGGAGCATCTGCATGAGCTCCTTCCTGCTATGTCAGCAAAGAGATATAAAGATAGATACTATCTCAAAAGCATTGATATGAACAAATAAAAACTGCCATTATCAAACAAAACCAGGCAAAATAAATCAGTAGAACTTATACATAGTTAAGCTTAGATAGAACTTACCAGCAAAAAAGCTTTGATTTTTTCCCAGAAAGCTGCTTTTATCATCCTTTCTAAAGAGTTCACTTTTATCTATCAGCACACAGTTTAACATGCTGCCATTTAGCAGTCTAACTCCTTTGTGACACGACATCTTGGGAAAAGCACACCTATTAAACTGACACAGAAGCAGGCACAGAAAGGCTGGTGATGCCAGTGGGGAAGAAAAGCTGCCAGCACTGTCCCTTCCTTGGTGGTTTCCAATAGACAGAAGCCACAGGATAAGATTTGTGTTTTGAACAAAAATATTCAGCCATACTAAATGCCCCTAAAAGAAAACTTACTTGTAGATACTGTGAAAGCTGAAACAATTCCTGAGAATACATACTGGGAGTGTTAGCAGCAACCTGAAAAAGAAGATAAGTAAGAATTAGAATGGTGTTGGATTTTTCATTAAACACAAATAATGCAAAATTCACTTACATCTAATCACAAAGGTAAACTTCAGATTATCTAATAATATAATTTTGCTTCATTTCTTTTTCTGTTACTGTTTATGCTTTTTTTAGTCATAGAAGTTTCCCACGTGGGGCTTAGGCCCCACAGTGTTTCTGCACAAGTTCTTGAGCCACCAACACAACAATGAGCTTAAAGCTTTTGGTACAGTTGAGAGTAAACTGAAAAAAAGAAACAAGGGGCCCAAAGGCAAAGCCATTCAACTTAAGGACAAACACAAAGTGCGGGCTTCTAACTCGATGTCATCACACATACTATGGCTGCATACTTCCTACCTACAAATTATCATCATAATCTCCCTTTATAGTATCTACTTCAGAACTAAGGAATACCTGTATTATCTCTGAATAATAACAAACTGTTCTTCACTTGGAAAGAAGTGGGGGGTTGCTCTGTGGGTTTATTTCAGCCAATCTATTTATTTACTAATTCTTGTAGGCTTCCTACAATAATTTTTAACTGTTTTCCCACAGTTACACCTGCAGTCCCGCCTCAGGATTTCTATCCTTGCCCTGGATCCAAGCCACACATATTGTTTTGAAATCTTAACTTAAAGTCTATAAACTCCTCAGGCTGCTGGTTTCACAAATAAGTTTCCACAGCTTCTTGAAATTTTGTTCTTCACACGTAGAACTCTGATTTGAACCTATTTAAGTTAATCCTTCTTTTTAGAGACTAGAGAAAGAATCAATTCCTGATCACGTTTTTCAAGGGAATATTTATTAACAGCTTTTCTACAAGACCCCCATATTACCAAAACTTAGTTTAAGAATTACAATTAACAATACTGACTCCATGACACTACAGTGAGCAACTCTGGCTATACAAGAGAGGCAGGGAGGTTTAGTCTCAACCTTCCTTGGGACCATGACAGTGCTTTCCAGACTGTGCAGAGCAGCTTCTCCTCCACAGAAAACATGATATAAAGAAAAGAGACCTTATCCTAACACCAAATTGTGAGCTATTCTTGTGTCCCACAGAACATGAAAGATTAAACTATGCAAGACCTGTTACTCTGTCAACCTGTACCTGGAAATTAACCATCTTAACATCAACGGTTTTGTTCCAAAGCCATGTTTTAGGTGCCACAATGTAAAAAGTCAACTTACCTTCAAATTTACACTATAATACTTCATTATTTCTCTACCTTAAATGTCACTCAAAATATTATACTAGGTAAAAACTGTCAGTGGAAAGCAGCATAATGTTACTGAACAGACATCACTATTTTTTCATCTTAATAAAAATTCTGAAAATAGCACATGTCTGAATAAGGCATAAACCAGCAAATTACTGAATTACCTTGTCAACAGGACTTGGTAATGGAGCATGGATAACACTAAAAAAAAAAGTGGACACAAAATAAATGTTGTACTTGGACATCTTCATCAAAGCTAAAAACATAACACCATACATTTTTACTATTTCTTATTTGGACTTATATGAAATTATATGGAAAATCTTCTACAGTAATTTACTTATCTTCCCACAAGCAAGCAAAGACCCTAAAGCTTCACACAAGTATTTCTGGATACTAATGATAAAAGGATATTTAAATAAGCAATAAACCTCACAAAACCGTTGATAATGAGATGACTAAAATTATGCCATTTGTGGTTAGCACTTAATGCAAACAAAATGTTAAAGTTTTTGATTTCTACTACTCTTGGAAGATGTTTCAAAATGGGCATATACACAGAAAACGCTGTCAATATTCATCTGAGATTCCATTAACTTCACTTAAGTCGAGTCTATGTGCCTTTAAAAGAGCCAAAATAATAATCATAAATAAAGAAAGAGGGCAGGAGAATCTGCTTATTTGCTTTCTTTTTCTCTATATTCTTCTGTTTCTAATATCCATTTCAGCAAAGTACAGTCAGACAAGCCCAACTACATGCTAATTTTTTTTTCTTTTAGAGAACTTCTTTGTTCTTCATAGTTGTCTTAATTACTAAAATTAACAAGCAAATGAGTTGTTTTTCTCATAATGCCTGCAAAAGATCCATGCACTCATTTATTGGCTTTGCAAGGATCACAGGAAAATAAACTGCTCCCATGATGATTTTAAACATAATATCCATCCAATGCTCATCATACAGTAGCGGAGTTTTGGTACATGGGAATGTATGTTCTTACTCTGATCGCAATCGAGCTTCCATTCCATCTGGAAGGAACAGTTTGATTGTGGAGACTATACATCCATGGGTAACTGAAAAGAAACAAAAACTAAGTCATCATGATCCATTACTACTTAAAATTAAGTTCAGTGCTTAATATATAGGAACCAAGTAAACTGTTTTAAGAAACCTTGAGACAGACAGAGAGGAGGAGACATGAACACCTTCAAGCACCATGGCCTGGGTCTGTCTTCTCAAACCTCCTCTGGACACAGGAAACATCATGACAGACTTGGAGAGGTTATGCTGTGTACTCAGCCCTGCCTGTGGAGCAGTTCCAGTTCCCACTCTTCCATGTGCAGCAATACCTGAAACTTGTCTTTATTACAGTAAGTTTAAAAAGAGAATGTTTTGATCATAAAAATGAGTGAAGAGGAAATGAGTGAGGTGCATCTTACCTGCACCAGGTAACGGGAATGCAGAGGTACCAACAAAATAAAGAGCTGCCTTTTTGTCAAGATTCTGACAAGCATATCCAGGGATTTAAAAGGTAACACATCCAATTTGTGTCACTGACACTTACTTCAAGGTCTGGAACTCACCGAGCAATAGGAAATGCAATATTTGATTCATACATCAAGTTCAAACTTCCTACACAACGTTTCAAAAAATGTTACTGCTACTATTTTCAATGCCTTTGCCAACAGCCAAATTATGTGTGTCTTGGTTGATTTTTTTTCCCCTGTATGGTTCTATGAATTGGGAAGTAAAAATTATTTCCAGATAGACAGAAAGATAGGTGCACATTGTTCCCAAAGCACTATCACAAGGGAGATACAAATGAGTGTGTGGTCACCTATCATGCACCACTATATCTCTAGCACTCACTAACATACAAAATAGCTGCTCTTCTTTCTCAGTTATTAATATCAGCAAAACAGTTAATCTGGCTTTGAAAAAAAAGGGCAATGGGCGTTTTAGGACACTGGTAATACTCCAGGGAAATGAGACAGGTCTTTAAGGAAGCTACCTCAATAGAATCTAAAAATACAGGAGAAATGATCCAACCAAGACAAGCTGGTTTTAACCTTTATTTAGCTAATGCTTTCGAGATGTATTCTCCTGAATAGAGCATCTTGTTTTTTCAAGCCAACCTGGTAAAATACTACATTTGCATGCCACGGCAGAACAGATTAAACTGCAGGGTTTGGGGTCTTTATTTATAATGGAATAAATGCAGTTTGCAAAAACATTCTAAAATACATTAACAATATTAGCTGTACCCTGTAATATATAGCTTTCGTAATGCAAAATTCTTTATTTAAGAGGAAATCAGTGATTTTAATAAGAAAACATTAGGATATCAGACATTAAATACAGACAGCTTTACCTTTGGGTCACAAATGAGGTAGGTCTGCTGTAAGATTATATAATTCTGAAGTTTTTCTGTCAACAGCTAGACTGACAAAAATCTCCTAAAATCTGCAGGAGTCTTATTTCTGTCAAATTAGGATATAATGGGCATCTACAAAAAGGTCTCAAATAGACAGTGACTGGGAAAAGGTACCAAGCATTTTGACAAACTTGTAAGATTAAAATAGTAAGAATGGAAACAATACCCCAACTCTGCAGCATGACCTTTATCTATCAGTTCATTGCAACTGGAAAAATAAGGAGAAAGCCTGAGGTAGAGCAACACAGAAAATACGAATACAGTACTGCCTGCACAGAACAGCAGCAGTGGTTTCAGTTCAGGGCTATAGAAATTCTTTTGAGGAATTAACAAGAAAAGGCAGTAAAGGAAGCCCAGGTTTGCCAATGGAGCCGAGGCACCCCCTGTCCCCACAGCTCACCCCGCTCTCCATCGCACTCACCTGCGGGCGCTCCGCGGGGCCGCCGCTCCCGCCCGGCCCGGCCCGGCCGCCATGGCGCAGCGCCGCCGCCAGGGGGCGCCACAGCGCCTGGCACCGCGGCCGCCGAGTCCGCTCCGCCCCGCCCCGCGCGCGCCCTCCGGAGCGGGAACGGCCGCCCCACAGCCCCGGCTCCTTCCACATGTACCGCTCCCTCCACAGCCCCGGCTCCTTCCACATGTACCGCTCCCTCCACAGCCCCGGCTCCTTCCACATGTGCCGCTCCCTCCACAGCCCCGGCTCCTTCCACATGTGCCGCTCCCTCCACAGCCCCGGCTCCTTCCACATGTACCGCTCCCTCCACAGNCCGCTCCCTCCACAGCCCCGGCTCCTTCCACATGTACCGCTCCCTCCACAGCCCCGGCTCCTTCCACATGTACCGCTCCCTCCACAGTGTCAAACAGCTGCCCCACAGCCCCGGCTCCCTCCACAGTGTCAAACAGCCGCCCACAGCCCCGGCTCCTTCCACATGTACCACTCCCTCCACGGTGTCAAACAGCCTCCCCACAGCCCCGGCTCCCTCCACGGTGTCAAACAGCGCTCCTGCTCCATTTGCTGTTCCACACTTGAGTCACGACCTTGCTGGTCCCCTCCAAAACACGGAGCTGCCCCACATTTCACAGCTCCAAAACCCCCAAGACCTGTCCTGAACCCCGACAGGTTCTGCTGTACTAGAGCACAACAAGAACACAGAAACAATTTCTGTTTGTCTCAGTCTTTGCTTCCTAGACAGACAATTTGCCAATGACGCTCTTGTTTTTTGTTTTCATTCATTAACGTGGTACCCAGCCCCGAGGAGCCACCACATCCCTCGGGGATCTGTGCACTGCCCTGCAGCACACACTGCACTCTCCACTTGCATCTCCCTCAAACGTCCCATGACAGAACAGATGTATCAAATCCAAACCTGACTAGAAAAAAGTGCATAAACTGCATCTGAACTAAGTCCTGATGGTATTATTTGACTTTGCTTTGCAATGCTGCTGCTCCTTTCCATGCAGGGAAGTATCATCAGTTAACCCGGAATGCTCTGGCACAAGTGGGAAATTTAGACAATGCTAAAAGAACATAAACCATTGCAATTGGAAAAAGAAGGAGAAAAGCTAACAGAGAAAAGCATGGTGAGATGTCAGTAGGTAAGTGCTGTATCAAGGAGGGGGATATGGCCAGGCCCCTGTGCTTGTCAGTAATACAGCAAGTGAACAAATAAGGAAGCAGGAGGGATGCAAACACTTCTCCAGGACGTGTTACTGACTTTGGCTCAGCCGCAGGAAACTGAGCAATTGGTGCTCATACCTGATAACCTGAAAAATCACATACTGAACATGCCACTATTTTAATGAGCCAAATCCAGATCACATTTGCAAGGAAATTACTTACTAAAACAGAGCCTCAACAATAAAATAAATGTATTCTAACAATAGCGACAGAATTCAGAATTTACATGGGCAAATATACTCTCTGTCGTCATTACCTTATAATTACACACAGCAGATTGCTGAAATGACTTGTGCAAGTAAGGCATTATGTAAAAAACAGAGTGCAAAGTGCTTTTAAAGGCAATCACCAATTTAAAAAACTACTTTGTTGTCTGTTTCATGCCTGGATTAGATTAACAGTAACATCTAAGACTACTGAAATGAACTGGTGAAAACTCCATGTTTATATTCATTCTAACTGCATTCATAGGTAAACACCCTGTGATACAATCTTCATTCTCTGCTTGGGGGGGCAGAGAAGGAGGAAAGTAAACTTGTATCCTCTTTCTGATTAGAGAGATCAACATATTCATGAGTAACACGAGCACAGCTTCCATGTTCAAAGCCAGAGAAAAGGACAAGGAAAGCTGCATAATCTGATCACTCATTACACAAATGCCAGGTCACCAGCACTTGTGTAATGTATCGTGCTTTGTAAAACTAACACAAAACCACAGCAAATAACTACTACTGGCAGAAGTTCATGGCAAGAATTTGCTTACTATGAACTTTCCACAAATGTTTCCATGAACTAACTGCAATGTGCTGATAAAAACAAGTCAAGTCCAATTTTTCTTCCAAGTAAACGTTATAATAAAATTTTAGTCTAAATACACTTGAAGAAATTCAGCTTCTCTTAGCAAGGACCGCATCTCATCAAATTAACAGTTCCAAGTTCATTATGTGCAGTGTATTCCTTTGATTTCTTCCATGTATACTGCTAGTTTTCATAAATGCTTGCAATCACTTCACATGGAAACATTTTAACTAACTCCCAGGCAATTTCGCTTAGGCATCCTGGAGTCGAATCTTTTCAACATCGTTTTTGAAAAGAATAAAACAACGTGATGAGACTTTCACTGCAATGAATCACTCAAAAATCCTACATCTTCAAAAGCTCTCCATGACAAAGTACCACCACCACGACCATTACTAAACAATGTTTTCCTTAGAGACTTCCATTAACCTTCCTCTGATACTTCAGATCTGAGAATTACAACCCTGTCTGGCTAAAGACAAAATTCATGAGTAACAGACCAGATGCCAACTTTATGTTTTGCTCACTTAATGCACTTTAACAAATTCCCAGTTGTACTACGGTTCAGTTTGTTGGGCTTCAGGGGGGTTGGTTTGCAAGAGGTTTGCTTTCATGGACATTTTGTTTATTTGCTTATTTTAAAGAAGTTCATAATCAGTCTTCCAATTTAATATTATTTTTTCATTCCTCTCCAATACACTTCTCTTTAAGGATAAGCTCTATAAAGGTCTTGTTCAGAAAAGCAGTAAAGGGGTAATGGCAGTTAACATTTTATTACTAAAGCTGTGCATTACTGAGTAGGTAGGATTCCACAGAACATAGCCAGAAGTTCAATGCTTACAGAAAGCAGCTGACCCATTAGGGAACTCTAAAAAGTCTTGACAAAACTGATTACAATCTGATAATCCCCATACAGGCCAGTCTCCAGAAAGATAAACAAATGGTTCCTGAAATACTATGTAATTTCAAAAGAAAAGAGATAGAGGCTGCATTTTAATTAACACAGATACAGAGGTATTGCCATAATACAAGATCTACTGAGCATGCATACTGGGCAGAAGACAGCAAGAAAAACAAGCCAAACAAAAAGGCCATCACCTCATTTGTCAGCTAGCAACTTTTTTCTATTCTCATTTTAAAGTAGCTGCAGAAATCAAAATCAGTAGCCATCACAGAAATAAATAGTGGGCAACCTGAAAGAATTAAGTTAGTCTGTTTCAAACCTACACTGACTACTTGATCAAGAAATTCAGGTTCATATTTCTGCCACACTATTAGCTGAAACCTTAGGGTTCAGAGGGCTTGAAAGAAAGGTAATTACAATAATAAAATCCAAACACAAAAAGCCCAACACAGCACTACACATGCATGCTTGTGTTGCACTTTCAAAATTGCTGTGGGTCAATTTAAGTGAGGCAATAGATGAACATGTGGCCCCAGCTGAGCCTCCTTTTCCAGACCTACACTTCCCCTGCATACAGTAGCAGCTACACAGCCAGGGAAGAAGGTAGGCTATGGAAACAACCCAGTAAATTCCATCTGGGGGCGTAGGGGTAGAAATAGTCTGTGTTTTCAAGAGACAGGTTTCTTAATCAGGTACCACATGGGCACAGGGCTCACTGCCAGCACAAAGGAGGGAAGAAGTAACAAAAACCAAAACAAAACTATTTTCTTACAATGGGAATGACATTTAGTTTTAAAGACTGGATTGTAATAAGATGTTCAAAATAAATATACTTGAAAAGAAACAAAAAAAGAAAAGGTTCCATACCCTTACCTTTCCGCGTGTTCTCCGTCACATCTACACCAAACTGGATGATGTCACCTGACATAATTTCACATGGTGGGCTTTCCTCTGATCCTCTACTCAGTCTCTGACTATTAATGAAGGTACCATTACTACTTTTAGTGTCTTGAAGATAGAACTGTAAAAAAACAAGAAGAACAGTAAAATATCTGGGAAAAGTAAGACAAGAAATACAAGCACAAGTAAAATTTTATTTATATAAAATTTATTTCTAGAAGATAACAAACGTATCAAACTCTAAACATCCTCATCAGGATGAAACACCTTCCCATTATCAAGAAGTATTTGTATTTGATTTGGAGTTAATGTATGATTGAATTCTAGCACATACACTATGCAAATAATTGGTACAAAGTGTACTTGAACTACTGCCTGCAGTAGAGGATCACACGTCATTAGCAACGACACCTTTTGCCACATACATATAACAATTCTTATTTAAGTTGGTCAACACACAAAAAATTCTAACTGCTCATACATTTAAGGCAACAGTATTGCATGACAAACATGCTGCAGGGAAGGCTACTGAAGGCACAAGCAAAAACTCTGGCAGAAGACTGAATTCAGAAATTGCAATAAAAGACCATGGTGAAACTGAAAGAATATCAACAGGATGCTTGTACTTCTAAGCAATATTAGTTTACATCATTAACTTAATTACAAGATTTCAAGTACTTTTGTAAATACTCCTCTGTAGAATTAATTAAATGTTAATAGCAACTTAATGAAACTGAAACTACTTTGATGACACAAGACTTGTAGTCAAAACTGCTGCATCTAAGAGGTTACAAATGAATCACCTAGCAGACCACCAGAGTGACTGGCTATGACCTGAGCAGTGACAGAATAAAACAGAGGACCAGAAAGTTACTGACAGCCAGGTGTAACTACTGGAATGAGTTAATCTCACTACTCTAAGATAACAATAGCTACTACAGGAACCTGCTGGAATAACAGAAATCACTGGCTTCCTGCCCTCAAAGAATCTCATCAAGCCTCAAAGCAGGCACTAGGGCTGGGGGAAAAGATGATGTGTTTGGAGAAATGAATGTATTCCCATATTTTTCTTATAAAAGCAATTGACCTTTCTTTTTTTTTCAGCATTCCATGCAGAATTTTCCATGCTTTTAATTGCCTCTATTATTGCACACCTCAAAAAAACCTGATACATAGCTCAAAAACACAGTGTCGAGGGGAAAGATGGGTTTGAATGGCGTGAGAGCACAGTACCAGGGCTCCTCAGATCTTCTATTGAAAAATGACACTGAGTGTATGATATGGATATTATATGGCATAACACAGTGGCCTTAAGCACAGAGCTGGAATTCCATTGTGTCCAGCACACAGGACTCAGTGATCAAGGGGAATGCCAGCACAGGAAAGCTCAGGTAGGTGTTTGAAATTAAATGCAGTATGTGAAAGACTTCCCTCCTCGCAACAGATATGCCTTAGACCTTCAATTGAAGGAAAATAAAACAGTAATCAGTCATAAGGTGATATAGATGAAGGTAAACATAAATTATGGATAGGTCAAGAAATTACGACTGCATTCACTGCATTAATAATCAAACTCATTCTAAGTAATAATCTTCATAGTATGAAACACTATTTACATACCAGTATATAATATAGCTCTTATAAGTTACATGCTTAAAAGCCAATCAAATTAATTAGCTTGTTAATTTAATAGTCTGAAAGTACTGAACTCTCTCATGGTCCAGTGCAGAGGTAATTATTTCTTGCTTCCTGTTTGTTTTGAATTAGCTTTCTTCTTAATTTGAAAATTCTTCTGTTACGAAAAAGTGAGTCACAGGCAAGGAGAAACAAACATGCTTCTGCTTATTTGCTGTTCCCCACCCTTTTCTGCTCTGTGCATATCTGCCTTTTATCCCTCCCAGCATTTTGATTAATCATTGCCCCTTGCAACCACATTTTTTCAGCATCTGCAAATGGGACTCAGACAAGATAGCACAAGGAAATACAGGACAGTGACCACAGGAAAAAAAGCAACAGAGCATCAGCCATACAAAACTTCTAAAATATCAGCAGACACAAAATTCAAACCGCAAAAGGCTATTTATAAACAAGTGTCCACAGAAAATACACATTACATTTAATATTATGTAAGTGATGTCCACTTAAGTGCATACTACTGAATTGTATCACATAAATTTTAGAAGAGTGATGCTCTCCAAGTCTTTTCACTGTGTAAATAACCTTCTTCCTGCATCTAGTAAAGAAGCAATACCAGCCACATGTTAATAGCTGATGTCTAAGGAAGGGAAACACACTGCCTTCAAATCTTGCTAAAAGGAGTCATTTACCTCTAATGTAGCCACTCCTTGGGAACCCACTTGGGAGCCAGTCCCTTTCAGGTAGCAAATTCAAATGTTATGTCCATGCTGGTTTTCACTAGTTCAAATGATCTTTCTCAATCTCTCCATCCTTTTGCATAATTACTAAAGCTATCTTCAGGAAGAAAAATCAAGTGCAAGCCCTGAAACAAATATGTCTATACATTAACTAGTACTTGTGGCAGTATACTGGTTTTTAATGTACTGTTTAATTAAGCAGTAAGCACAGGGGGTTCTCTGATTGCCAAACCAACACCTTTTACACAGCAGCTGTGTAACACAGCACCTTCTGTGAATCCAGCACCATTTATCCTTGCTGCCCCCAGCATAGCCCGAGCTCAGGCAGCAGTGCCAGCTCACAGAGCAGCCATGCATCCTGCCCTTCCCAGCTCTCGCTGCCGAGCTGTGTCACCACCTTGTCGCTTGGACTGGCTCAGGTGCTTGTTTAGTCACTGCAAACCAGTTTCGAGCTGATGCAAGGTAAATGAGGAGGTGCTTAAGCCAGTACTGCCAGAAAAAATGGCAGCATATACTTGGCCTAATTATACTTGCTTTTGTAATTCACTCCCCAGAGCAAAGTCCCAGCCCTTTTTTACCTCATATTAACACCAAGTCCAATGTAGAGCAGAGAGGGCAACTCACACACATTCAAAACAATTCAGCTTTAACTTTTTGTTAAAGTATTATCACATCCTTAATTCAAGGGATAGCTGTATATGTTGCTAAGTGGTTTCCCCTCCTTTCTTAAAAAATACAAGGTAACATAGTAACTGTTCAAGAAACTTCATTATCATAACAGCTCAGACAAAAAAAAATCCTAGCCTGTATTTCTTCTTTAGCAATTTATTATTTATCTCTCCTCCCACATACACATCATTAAAAAGATCAGTTAACTGCAGACACCTTACTAAGCTGCTTCCACAAAATTTGTGACGATTTTGTTCTAAAGTAAAACTTGCAGTTCATCAGTACACACAAACTTCTTCAGTACAGAACATCTTCCTTAGAAACTATATTATGGAAGCTCCAAAAACTACAGATCTGTGTTTCCCTGTTTTGCAAGGAATTATGTACTTATTTCACAAATTTAGCATTGATAATATTTCAAGTTACTATTCAGTTTTGCAAATTGAACAAATGTACCTCCTCTGCTCTGACCTTTGGTACATAAAAATCACATTCCTTCTTCTAGGTCAATGACTCATAAGAGCATCAACAACCTGCCAAATCAGTTCATGTGTTATTTTCATGCACTTAGATACCACTATGATTTTCCCCTTATAACAAATTTCCAATATTTTCTTATTACAGAAATAGAAGAGTCTTCTGTAGTGAACCCAAACCATAACACATCAAAATTAAGCACATAAGATATGTTAATTCTAACTGATATTAGGAAGTTGCAAATTGCTATGCTCCAGGACAGACTTTAACCTAACTTATGAAATGTAGGTTAACTGTTTTCTTCAAAGTAATAAAATCAACTAGCAATAACAAACCCATTCTGTTTAGATCACTATTGTGATCATCTTCCAGGAGGCAGGCTGAAGAAAACTCCTTAATTAGCCTGACAAGTGAGAAAGCCATGACGTGTTTTCTTTCCCAAGCCATATGCAGGCCTGACACAGGATAAGACACTTCTGAAGGATCTCAGAGAAGACAAAATATGGGCTCAAAGACATATAGAAAACCTTGAAAAGAAAGAAGCACACTTGTTCAGTGCTTTGATTACCTGGATCTAATTACAGCAGAACTAAAGAAATAAACAGCTGACCAGCTTTTTAATACTAATATTTGCTATTACTATGTACAACCATTCTTGGCCATTTTAAGAGCACGTTACTGCTACTCCATCTAACCCAGCCTGAAACTGCAGTTCAGGGCAATTATTCTAAGAACTACATTGAGGAGAATTGCTGGAAAACTGAGGCAGTTTGTCCAGAGAGATGTGAAATTCACTATGTGAAGAGGAACAACTACAACACCAAAAAAATGCAGGAAGAAGAAACCATCCCATATAATTAATCTATTTCAGCCTCATTCCATAGCTGAATTAATAATTAAGTAAATAAGCACCAAAACATAGGCTATCGCCTTTTACACAAAGTCAAAAATGAAAATATTTATTAAAGAAATTTTCACTGCCTAAACAAGTAACGTAGAAAAAGAACCCTAATTTCACAATCTCCTAGTTGACCATTCTTTTTCTCACCTCTTATTTCCTTTGTGAAAGAAGTACACACAACTGCTATGAGCTTCAGGGTCCTGTATACCTTTAGCTTGAATCAGAAAGATTTTAATTATTTTGTCAAATTATCAACTACAACCAGTAAGGAGATGGCAGCTCCATTTCTGCCATGGTTACTGCCACAAAGGGGCAGCAAGGTTATCAGCCAGAGCAGTTAAATCATAAAATGCTGCAGTTAATGATGAAAGATTCTTCCCCTACTCACACTAAATCATTGAACAATTAATGCAGGCATTATAAATGCATCCCCTGAGTATTAAAGCTAATACTTAAAAGCAGCAAGTAAATAGAGATCTAGAAATTGGAATACTTGCCCTGGAGTAATACTTCACTAAGCAGTAATGCATCTGAGTTCATTTCCTCATTGCATGCTGAGAATTCTACCAGGAAACAAAGTACACTGTGCACAAGTCCGATGGTGCAAAGCCAAAGACTTGAAAACAATATATACCAGGGTCAAACCAACATGGCCAACATTTATCCCACTGGGCTAGAAATTATTTTCTCTCTTATTGT